ATTTGCGTTTAGCAATGTCCCACAAACAGCATGAAGTGAAAGACCATTTTTTTCATCCAGGGGTTTGTTGGCCAAGACACCGGGAGAAGCCCCCTTCTCTTTTCAAATAAAGACATGGGATCTTTAACTACACCTTGGTTTAATGTCTCATCTGAAGGACAGCACCTCTGACAAAGCAGCTCTCCCCCCCCCCACCCGGCACTCAACCTGTACTGTCAGTTTAAAGTTCCAAAGTGGGGGCTTCAACCTAGAACCTTCCGACTTAAAGTCGACAGTGCTACCAACTGAGCCAGGCTGAGAAATCTTACAGTGATTCTCAAAAAATGTCTCAGTGGATTCTCATTCACTCCAAAATTCTGAAAGTAAAAGGGCTAACAGTGATCAGACAACTCACACAAGAGGCCTTGAGTGCTGAAAAGTAAAACTACTAGAAGTGGTTAAAGCAGTTTAAGCACAATCTCCCGGCGATTCGCAGGGTAACTGAATGAGCATTTCACTTCAATGCCTCACAACGTGGAACCACTTGCTGGAGTCTCTCAGTCATGGCTCAGTCTACGCACTAACCCCGGGCTCACAAGATGGGTTAAAAAATGCATTAGGTCCACGCCTCAAATGCATTATTCACTCGCGTTTCCATATCTGGGAAGCTTCACCTGTGGTTGGTACATCAAAGCGCTGCTTGGTAAGTGCAGGAATCAGTACAGGAGGAGCACAGGTAGCGAAACCCACAACTCTCCTATGCTAGTTTATTAATAATAATAGTGTCTTATCACATCGTTGGAAACAACCGAAAATGCTTCACAGAATGTTACTGTAAATACTAATAATCCTTTCATTTGATATAGCGCCTTATCACATCTTCGAGACGTCTCAAAGCGCTTCACAGAATATACTGTAAAGTGAATTGACTATATTTTGTGGGCAAAACATAAAGCGTAGTAAAGTCACGGTGTAGGCTAACGCGACAAACAACTTGTGCACAGCAATGTCTCACAAAAATTTCACATGAAATGAACCATCAATTTATCTGGGGGAGAATTGTTGGCCAGTTCACTGGGAGAAAAAAACTCACTTCTCTTTTTGAATCGTGCCATGTCGATCTGAAAAACAGGCAGACAGGACCTTGGTGTAACATCTCATCTAAAAGGACATACCCACCAAAGCAGCGCTCAGGTTCCCTGGAGTGTCGGGGGGCGGGGGGGGAGGGCGAGAATGCACCTTTCAAGTAACATTCAAAGATTTTACAGACAACAAAAGGTGGGCGTTGAAGGGGGTTGGGGGATGGAGGTGGATAGAGAAAAGTTACACCAGAGTGTAGAGAAGCCCTTTAATTATTAACATGTTTCTCTGAATAAATTGCACGAAGCTAAAAACACATCACGTTCACTCATGCGTTAATAGATGCACGACCCATCTCGGAACACTGTGCACTTTCCCCCACTCTAAACATCAGTTATCTGTCTGCTCACCGCCTTCTTAAGGCAGCACTCAAGACTATGGACTAGGAGCCGGAGCGAGGGATGTGTGCGCTGCGCAGTTATTTATTATTAATGACTGCATTTTCACGTACAAAGCAACCCCCCCCTTCCCCGATAACAATCAGACCACACCAATTTGTCAATTTGTCTCCAGTGAGCTAGAGACGCTTATATAAGCACTATATATATGTATATTTTTTACACGCACATACGCACAGCATTAAAAAATACACAGATGGGATTTGGATTCAAAAAATTTTTTTTTTTTTTAAAAATCACTTTTAAAAATCACGCACGTTTATTTTATTGGGGTTGTGTTTTTTCCCGCATTCATTCAATTTAAAAAAATCACTTTCCAAATACCATATATAGATATATATATATAAAAATAACCTAAATGGGAGCAGAGAGGCACAGTTCCGAGTCTGGAATGCTATAAAGTCAGCAGCTAGCAGCCACTGATCTTCCCCTAGTTTCTTTCACACAATTGCCATGTGAACGGCTTGGAACATTGATTGTGGATGCATTGATATATATATATATAAAAATAACCTAAATGAGAGCAGAGAGCACATATGATATACCCGATTCATGCAGTACATCACATTGGATAAACTCTGTCCCCAACCATCGCTGGGATTAACATCCACTGCTCTTTCTCAGTGGGTTTTACCACAAGGGAGTATTGGGATGAGCACGCCGCAAGAAATTGGCTTCATTTTGATCGTACTTCTCAAGAGACGCATGTTCACCATGTTTCTTCTGTTTTCACCAATTTTCCCACCTTGCTCGGCGTCCTAAACCACCCGTGTATAACGCTTTAAGACACTTAGGAGCCCTGTAGCTCAGTGGTTAGAGCACTCGCCTCGCAAGCGAGAGACTTGGGTTCGACTTCGGGCAAGGCGAAACCCTGGGCAAGTTTTCTAACTCCACACGCCTGATAATAATCCCTCAAGAAAAAAAAATAATAATAATTTGGTCACTCAATCCACGATTGTTTGTGGGACACTGCTGTGCACAATTAGAGTTTCGTCCACAAATTGTAAAGTCAATTCACTTTACAGTATATTCTGTGAAGCGCTTTGAGACCTCTAGAAGACGTGAATAGTGCTATATCAAATGCAAGGACTATTATTATTCTCCTACATGAAAGGCGTTATTTAAGTGAGTTATTGCTCAGAGGTTATTTAAGTTGATGATAATACTTAGGTGCAAGTTGCCACATAGAGAGGGGCAATCTCTAGGCTGCCACTTTCTCTATCAGCAAGAAACTGCTGGCTCCGACCATTGATATGGTAACCGTTTCAGCCGGGAGTAGATCATTGGTCCATTTAGCATCCTCATCTATTTCCTAACTGATTCCTTCCACAAATCTATCTCATCGCTGAACAAGTCCGAATCTGAATGGATAGTACCAAGTCAGAAAGTCTTTGGACTATTGACTTGGATTTTGAATATAATTGTTACTTGCGCAAACCAATTTGACGTCCAGGTCAACCTGCCCTACCTATCTCTCATAACACTGACCTGCAGGATCCCAGCCATGCATGTCACCCTGCCCTAGTCTTATTTACACAAGCTATGCTCTAGCTTCCCTTTGTTACACAATGAGATGGATCATCGTGATTGTTCTCATTTTTATTGAGAGCAGCTTCCATCGCTTGGCTTTAAATCCTCCGGCTAAATCCCATAAGCCGACAGGTACGGGCTCCACACCGCTCGATGCTAGTGAAATGGCAAGAGCAGATGAATCGTACCTTGAGAAAGGAGCATGCTTTCCAGTTTTCTTAGCCAGGGCAAGACAGTGTGTGTTAAATAATTAAAGTAAAACCACTATTTGGGAATTTAAAACCCCCCCCCCACAATATTCATAGACGCGATACTACAAAAACTGAATAATTCAACGACCATCTATTTTAGATGTTTCGGGATAAATGTATCAGTTCACGAAAAGATCTGCTAACATCAGGTAAATACTTATTGCCTCATGTCTCTTCGCTTTCATTTCTACCAGGGTCACTTGGTCTCAGTGCTGGTGTTTGGAGTATTTTTCACTCGCAAACTGGCCAGTTGTAACCGATTAGCCTCAGTGTGCTAGGCTAAAGGAGATGCCCACTCCTTTCACTATCCACTACAGTGGTCAGGGCACTGGGAGAAACTCCCTTCTCTTTTTCAATAATGTCATAGGATCTTTAACGTCCATCTGAACATGCAGACTTTGATTTGACGAACTGAGTCTTTGCCTGGGCCGTGAGCTGAAATCCCAATTTGGGGCTTGAATCCACAACCTTCTGACTAGGATGGAGGCAAGAGTGCTACCAAGCAGACATCCCTCCTGAATTTCCAACCCTGGCGACAGGGAGTTGGCGTGGATGCAAATATTACACAGTGCCAGTTGGAGTATCAGATTGTAACTTGGACGTGTGAAGTGCACACACAAGCATTAGTCGTTGAGATGCAGATTATACATCTCAGAAGCAGATGGTTTAGTTTATGCCCAAATACCGCCACCCAACTTCAGGGGAATGAATGCCTGCTAACACTAGGAGCGGGCAGAGCACAGCGCTAAACTGGGGGAATTTTTCTGCTCAGCCAATTCTAAAGAGCACAGTGCAACACAGCAGCCAGTGGCGCACGGTTCCTCTCCGCTTGCACGTCTATCCGCCCATCTGTTTGCCCGTCCCCCCTGGCCCGCGCACTGTAGAGGCAGCCGATGGAGAGAGGCACTCGGACGGATCAGTCACTCGACTTTTAAACGAGGTAAGCAGATGTGGCGTTTTTTTTCTCCCCCCTTCTTCGAAAAAGATTAATTGAATTATCTGGCCCTTTGGAGAAGAGGATTTGACGGAGCTCAGAGAGAAGGATAGGTCTCCGTTCCCTAACAGCTGTTCCGCTTAAGAAGATTTATAAAACAGCAGGCCCTACTTTTCCGGATTTGCGATATTACACGCGTTGAGACGGTGGTTAGTGGATTGATTTCCAGCTAGTTCAACCTTCTCAGTGGGCACAAGTCCATACTTGGTAATATGGGTGGAAGGAAAATAAACCCAGTCTTTCTCTCTCTCACACACACAAACACACACTTGATATCTCGCTTGTATGTCACATTAAAATGTCTCAAAGTGCTTCACAGACAATTGCTGTCGAGTGCACTGACTGTGGATTTGTAGGGAAACACAGAGGCCAATTTGCACACTGCAGAGTCTCACAAACTGCCAAGAGGTCCATCGGCCAGGACCTTGGGAGAAACTCCTTTTGGTTTTACCTTTCCTTTAACATCTGAAACGTGGCACCTGCAATACAGCAGCGCTCCCCCCCAATACTCCTCCACTGGAGTGACAGCCTAGACTGTGAGCTCGAGCTCCGACTTGGAGCTCGAAAGCTCGAACCCAAAACCTTATGATCCAGTGATTGCAGCCAAGCTGACTGACATTTTAGTGGTTTATAGATCCTTAAAGAGATGCTCATTAATCCCCGTTTGCAGACGATAATGAAATTTATAAGGAAGAAATAAACCCTTACCACCTTGATGACTCTGGACACTGCTGGGCAGGGAAGAGCTATCAGACTTGGCATCGCACGCCAATTCTGACAATTCGGTAAAGTTGGATGGAGACGAACAGAAGGTGAGGGGCGGAGATCTGCACATTGGCGGGGTGAAGCTCATGTTCAGCACACAATGCATCAGGGGATATTCCACAGCAAGCCCGCTGAGGGATGGAAACAAAGGTTGTGACATCTTAAAGCTTGAAGAATATTACAGCACAAAAGTAGACCATCCGGCCCATCTAGTTTGTTGCTTGCTGACTGCTAGCCATTTATTTTTCCTGCCCTCTTTATACAGAAATTTTGTTCATTTCTAGTGAGCAGGACAAGATAAGACAACAACTTACACTAGTTCGGGGCTGTGATGCTGGTTGAACACCTCAAAGAGCTTCAGTAAATACAAGGAGCAGATGAAATAGAATTTAAGGGCAACGATCAAAGACTAGGTCAATGAGAGAGGAGTGAGAGGAAGGGATTGTGAGAGAGAGAGAGAGAAAGAATGAGAAAGAGAGAGTTTAAAAGGATGAAGGTACAATGGCTGAAGGCTTCAATGTGTTGTAGAGTTCATTTTTTTTTTAAACTTGTCTTCTCCGATAGGGAATGTGTGTATCAATATCAAAATTGGGTTAGCGCATACAGCAAAGCACGCCTGGATTCCTCCATTCCCCATCACACTCACAATGGCGTATCAATCAGCTTCTCCTCCAGATCCTCCAGGAGCTTTAAGAAGCTGGAACTGAGGTTCGAAGGGACCTCTATGTTCCGGACTCCAATCCAGAGCTGCAGAATCGATCCGTTTTCAGCTGAAACAACATGAGACCACATTAGCATTGGAAGCTCAGGAACCATTCAGCGCTTCCTCTCCCGTTTCCCGAGATTAACTGTTCTTCATGTGGGAGACCAGGCATTGAGTTTAATCAGAATATCCGACAGTGGGGGCTGTGTGGGTGTGGGGTCAACACAGGCTGCTGTATATGGCCAAGGGCTGCACCTGGCAGGGTATTAGCCAAGTCCTCGATTGTCGGGGGATGGGGGCAGGAGAAGGAACGATACTGCTGGAAGAATCCGAGTGCATCATGAGGAAATTCCCCAGGTCTCGGTGGCTGCACAGTGAATTAGTTTTTCAGGTTGTTAAAAACTAAACCGAATCCCAGTTTCTTCCCCCATAGAATTTTCAGACAGTTTCGTCTCCATTAAGATTTCTCCCAAGACTGAAAGGTCAGGCAGTTGAGCTGTTCCCAGGTCTTTGCCAACGGCAATGGGTAACGAGACGCCAGAAAAGACACTTCATACAGTGAACCAAGCTCTCGGGGTCCCACTTACTGTTCCCAATATATAAGCTGGAACAAATTACTCGATCAGCCCACAGGGAGACAGCCCTCTCCAATATTAATACAAATACAAAAAGATGGATCTATATAATAGCCGTCTCTCTCTCTCTGTATACACACACATATATATATATGTGTAAACAAATTGGATTAGTGCCAGCCTATAGAGACATCCATGTCCCATTTACTTTGCATGTGCTCAAAGCTGGAAACGTGCCAGTCCATAGTAAGCAGTCTCTGCTATTTACTGTCTCTCGTTCCTCCTCATAATCAGCTGAACTAGCACCAGTCTATAGTGCAGCTCGTCTCTGCCAATCCCATTTACGCTCTCGCTGCAATTTGAGTCTCGCTCTCGTTTCTGCATTTGCTCTCTAGTCTTAATCCACTCCCCCATTTTCCCCATCTCTTTTATATCAGCTCTTTCTTTTCATTTGCACCCCCCCTCCATATTTCACAAAATATGTTCTGGTTGACAATCTCTCTCTTTCCCCCCACCCCACCCCAACCACCACCCCCACTGAAAATGTATCCACGCACTTTGTGGCTGTTTGTGGGACGTTGCTGTGCACAAATTGGGCTGCTGCGTTTGCCTGCAAATACACAGTCGCTGCACTGCGAAGCACTTTGAGACATCTTGATGAATGATAAGGTTTTGTACCAATTTTGAAGATTATTATTATTGAATTTAAGAATCTTTCTCCGGCTCTTTTTTAACTCCCAGAGTCTAAGCCCAAATCCTCCATTTTAAAAAAATTATCTCGGAGGCCATGGCCGATTGTAGGATCTTGCTGAGCGCAAAATGGCTGTTGCATTTGCCTTACAATCAAAACTAACAGCAAACCCACGTGAACTGCTTTGAGACGTCATTTAGACACGATATCAAATGCAAGGGTGCTTCAGTGCAAATTACACACATAGACTGATGGTGGGTTCCTCTAGATATTTCCGCTCTCTATATATTTTGCTACGCGAGCTGTCAGTTCTGGTCTGATTCGGATTAGTTTTGCTTGTGGGGAACAAATGTTGCTGGTGACAGGTCCTCGCCATTAGCAAACATTTGCTGCCTGTGAAACAAATTAAACTTGAGCCTTGCTCTTTCAGGTATCCAATGCATACCCTTCGTGCGTTTAAAAGATAGGAAATTGGGTCATTGCCCGCAGGCTGCCATCGCACAACATCCAGCCTCGCACATTTCAGTGTAATGAGATAGAACGGGTGCATTGCTCGGGCCTCCCAGCTCCCGATTAGTCTTTTAACCAAACATCATTTCCCCGCTGTCATCTCCGCGTCAAGAACCACAGCTCTCAAGTGCTTGGGTCTATTCAACCCAACTCGTCTGTGCTGGTGTTTATACTTCACACAAGCCCCCACCCTTTCTATACACAATTCTCCCGAGTCAGACTTTTCACATAATAATCATTACGTTCGTTATGGTGCTGTTATGTCAGGAGGATTTACTGTGAAGTGTAGTAAGTATGTGTTTTGTAGGTGAATGCAGCAGTCAATTTACGCACAGCGACGTCCCCGCAAACAGCCATGAAGTGAATGACCAATTTTCACGTCAGCCAGAACACCGGGAGACAGAAACACCCTTCTCTTGCAGTAATGAGGTGGGATCTTTAACATCCACCTGAACAGGCAGATGGGAACTCAGTTTAGCGTCTCATCTGAAGGGTAGCGCCTCTGACAATGCAACACTGCATCAGATTGTCAGCTTAGATATCCCCCGAGAGAGGCCTGTGCCGAACTGGCAGTAAGGCCCCAGCTATCCCTGCGGTTTTTCTGGTGACTGGGAGCTCTGACTGCATCACTTTGGGCGATGCCAGTGCTGAAATCTATGAAATGAAGATGTTTACTTACTGGTTACAAGTTGTCCGTCATCGTTTTGCAGTTCAACTTGAACGGTGAAAGGAGAGCCCTGTACTAAGTACTGCACCTCGCCACCTCGGATTAGGATCTTAGTCGCCATGGCTTTTCCACACGCACGCGCACACACACAAAAAAAAAAGCAGAAATCCAATTAGAATCATAGGAATTTACAGCACAAAGGAGGCCATTCGGCCATTGAGCCTGCACCAGCCTCTCAGAGCAAGGCATTTGTTCAATCCCACTGTTATTGGCAAGACAACAAGCCACCCTGAAAATATACCAACAGAGAAAAGGCCAACAGATGTAAAGGTATCTGACCGCAGGCAATGAATGGCTCAGTGGCCAAAGGTAAACACCACAGAGTGAATGGCCCTGCAGGTGGCTGGCGAGTGGCGATGTTTATGTGGTGTGCCTCTTGCTTCTCTTGTGACGTTTGCTCTGTATTCCTTCAGACAGCCATCAAGCAAAAAAGAAGCCATTAAGTGCATGTTGTAACAGAGTCGCAGGAAGCTGCGTCCATGGCCTCTGGCTTTTACAGAAACTGAATCCCAGCAACAGACCTTTCTCCCCAAATCCCTCCGCCTTGCTCCTCATCTCCATGCATTCAAACCCATTAAAAATCAACTCCTCCTGCTCTACCCACTGCTCAGCTCTCCCCCATCATCTCTGAAGGGCTTCAAGATGTCCAGTCCTGCGAGAGATGCTGGGGCAAAAAAAGCGCATTTTCTTGTTCCCAACTGAACAGGGGAGACACTGGGAGCCACAGCAGGGGGTTGGAGAGAGCTAGAGAAAAAGAGAGGGAGAAAAAGAGAGAATAGAAAGGAAGAATTAAGGGGAAAGAGAGCGAGAGAGAAAGAACGATAATGCTGGAGTGGCAACACCCCCACCACCCCCAACCTTCTCCCAAGTTCAAACATGGCATCACCATTGCTCAACCAGTGTTGCTAACAGCCAGAGAAAGAGACAGACATCCCTGTGCCCTGAATAAGTGAGCAGGGAGTGTTCTGTCTGGAGGAATAAGAAACAGCTGAGAAAAGATAACAGTAATTCAACTGGAAAGAAGCACGCATGAGTAATGCATTGAAGGGAATTACCTCACCGTTGGGGATTGGTTCCCCTTTAAACGGTGCAGACATCCCATGAATGTGAGGAATAACTTGGTCAACAGGCCAAAAATCACATCAGTTGATACTTTCTGAACATATCGCAGGCGGAGTGAAGCTTGCAGGTCTATGACCTTCTGCGGCTGTTTCTCTCCGCTCCCCTTTGGTTGAGGAAATGATTGTGATCCGGGTGGAGTTACATTGGCTGGTTGTCTATGCAGTCTGACCAGCGGCGGAGTGAGTGAGTGCGTGTGTGTGCGTGTTATGTGTTTGTGTGTTTTTGTGGGGAAGGTACAGACAGCAATGATCAATCGGCTTCAGCACTTCCCGTGCTAGTTATTTGCTGCTAAAGACGGTTGCCCACCCACTCATCATACAGACAGCATTCTGGGCAAAGTCGTCAAATCAGTTTGAGCTCAGATCCGCAGAAGTCATGCTTGAGATGTGCAGAGCTCCAGTTAGGATGCACCTGGAGGACAGAGTACAGTTCTAGAATCCATGACATAAGGGGTGGGGATCACCAAGGCCCCACAGGCAAAACAGAGAGCAACAATAAGGATGACTGACCCCCCCCCCCAACCCGCCCTCGTGTTAGTGGAACAAGCTACGACAACTGTTTGGATAAGCTAGGGCTCCCCAGCCTTGGGGTGGGGGGAAAGAAAGACATCTCAAAAAGGTACATTGAAGATACAAAACTCTCGATATTATTTTCACGCACCACACGGTCTGAAGGGAACACACCTGCGGGCCTCCCATTGATCCACATTCCATCGTAAACGATGCCACTGCAGTGAGTCATGCAGCCCTGGCCATTAAACAGATCGTTTCTCCACTGGCCCTGAAATGAGGAAAAGCGTTGTAACTTTCCGTTTGTAGTGTCCATTTAGAGGCTGTTCAGTCTGCTGTCACAGGGTCGGTTCGGATGAAGAGGCCCTTCTATCTCATCCTCCCAGAACACCCACCCTAACACACACAACATCTAACTGGGGGTTTTAAACATGATCCAACCCTCTTTCCTGGAATCCCTCTTACAGTTGTTAATAACTCTCTGGGCAAAGATATACTTTCTGGTATCTCTCCTGAAATAGCCATTTGCAGTGTCTAAACCTGTGTCCTCAACAGGCAGACATCAGGACCTCAGTTTAACTTCTCATCCAAAGGATGATAACACCTCGGTCAATGCAGTGCTCCTTCTCTCCCCGCCCCTTCCCACTCCGCCCAATACTGCAACTGCCTGGACTGTTAGCTCAAAGGGCTCATGGGTGAAGGTGTGGGGCTTGAACCCCGAGGTGAGAGTACGAGCTGACACCTGGGAACAAACTTATTGGCAGAGATTTCCTTGTTTACACAAAGATCATTTGGCCCAATGTTGTGAATGGGAACAGGCCAGGTCTGTCTGTGCCAGCTGTTCAGAGCAGTCACAGGTTAGACGCACAGAACCTCGTGGACTGCAGGCACGAGTTTGCAAGCGATAGCTTGAACTCCACGAGCCCCAGGTGACGGGTGTTTGGAGGCGGCAGAGATGAGAATCAGCAAGTAGGTTCACGCTAAATCGAGCACAACTATCTAAATAAAGATTGGCGGGGGACCTGGCCACCTACATAGCAACGCCTTCTGTCAGGCAATCTGGAGCAACATGGGGAGAATCCCCCTGATCCAGGCTGGCCTGACCTCACAGCTCAGCGAAAAGAGGAAAGAAATTCCTTTGTATAACAGAGCAAGTATGTTAGTAAGATACAGCACCTCCATTAAGCTGTCCAAATTTAAATGAATCACCAACTCACATCTCGCTCCCACTTTGAAGAGTGTGGCTGGCACACTATCAGTCTCCATTTGGAAGCGGATTCTCATTAAGAACTGGTGAGAAACAGCTTCCAAATTAAGAGGAGATTTAAGATCTTTTCACAATCCTGTGCAACCTTAAGTTCAATACACAATGGTCTCGCAGACTGAGGTAGGTTTTCAAACCTCTAATCACTGTCCAGTGGTTCCCTGCTGGAAAATAGAAAATGGGCAAGGGCAGGGATCACCTGTCTTGTTTCCAACAAGCTTGGAAGCTCACATTCAAGGCTTAAACATGAAAATAACCACTTGGGCAGAGCATTGGATGTCACCCATGAAACCGTAAAGAGGGGGAGGGGGAGGAAGGCAAGGAAAATGTTGAAGATCTTCAGGAGAGGAGGACAAGGAAACAAAACAAATGTGAAAAGAGTTAAGAGGATTGCCTCAGAGAGAAGCGATTACGCTCTGGGACTGATATGTTAGCAGGCGATGGGACTGAATTCATTAAATTCCACACTGGAAGGTGAAGCAAGACGGCGCTGCCTCTTACACTCCCCACAGCTGCGGGCTGACATCCGGCTGGCACCCTGTGACACAAGCCGGCTGCACTGGACACGCCACTGAGTGGCACTTTTGGCCAGCGACCAGGTTAACCCTTTCAGGACCACAGCTGTTATTTCTCCAGTTTTTAATACACATTTTCTCCCGTCCCCCAAACCGAGGTGAATCACTGGGGAAAAAAGGGCCATTGGAGAGGGAAAAGAGGGAACTTTCGTTCTGTGTTTTGTCGGCAAACATGGCAGTTGTTTCACCCACTACGAGATCTCACAACTAGCGCCATAAATAGAACAACTGAGTGTCAGTGCAACCACAACCATGGTTGTTTACCGGATCTCGCCGTGTGCAAATGGATGTGCTGTGATTGCCTACAAATACACTGTCATGCCCATCCACAGTAAAGCTCGTGAAGCCCCTTGAAACGTCTTCACGACTTGAAAGTCGCCGCATCTAATGTGAGGATGGATCATTATTTGATTATTATAAGCAAAGCGGGTAGCGGAATAGTATAACAGACGTTCAACGTTCAGTTGTAGGTTTTCTTCTTGTTAAGCCTGCGTCCCATCTCGCCATTTTACAGGCGGACGTAAAAAGATCCTGTTCGAAAAGAGAGAGGGGGTGGAGGAAAGAGTAAGGACCTGAAGGGGAACTTTTAACAAATAATACGTGGACTGAATCAGAAGATGAGGTGAAGTCAGGGCACAGGGGCTGTTTTGCAGGACAAGAGAATCCTGAAACTCCTGCAAAATCTAACGACGGCTTTATAAAGTTCCAGCCCTGAAGAGGAGCTTTGCAGCACTGTTGGTCAAGCGGTGGAGAAGGCGAGGGCTGCCACCTAGTGGCCGTATAAAGGATACCTCATAAACAGATCCATCTGCACAGTGGAGCACACCGTGTCCTTGTCTCTGGTCCAGAACCCAGTCTCCCTGATAATGGTCTCCGTTCCTGCACAGGAGAGGAGCGCACATTACACTTTCTCCTCTCAGTCGTGGACTTTGAATACAATATGCCTTGGGTGTATTTTTTTCCCCCTAACTTTTTGAAACGACGAGTAAACAAGCAAAGTAACTTGCAGGTTGCAGACACTCCCAGCCACCTCATCCCTCCACCCCACGCTGGAGACGCCTCTGGCTGGCTGTTGAGCAAAGACAGGACCGAGGCTCGGCTGTGATGAAGTGTCCCGCTCTTTAATTGCAAATGAGCTTTGCCATGAGAGAGCCAGAGTGATTGACACTCCCTCTCAGAAATCTACTCTCACCAGCCCCAGCATTTGATGCCCTCTCTTCATCTTTGCCCAATGGAAGTAAGAGTCAATTGAGAGCACCCTTTCGGGTTGGAGTGCAGGGAGCCACACATTCAGCACAGTGCACAGATCTATTAGGAGTGGACCAGGGAGCAGGTGTGTGTTGTGTATAACATTGGCTCCAGCAAAGTGGCAATGCTGCCAACTGAATATGGGAACATTTGGCGCCAATGCCGTTAAGGGTTTGCTGTAGCTGCAGAACAATAAACAGACCTTCTCTCTGTAGGCTCCAGCCTGTCTACTGCAGCTTCCTGCAGCGCCGCAAGATTCGCTACAACCTTTGCAACCTCATACTGCTGCAATTTCGCCCCCCCCATCCCACTCCCCCCCTCGCAACTTCATGCCACCCTGGCCTCACCTTGCTGCAAGTCTCATTACAGCAAAGCTGCAACTGTGACAGATACACGGTGGCCAGAGATCTCTTGCTTCCCCGTGGGTAAGCAAATCTGCAACTTACAGTTTGTAAAATTCCTAAAGTCCTGTGAGCAATTTAGCTGGGAATAGTGACAACTTTATTTTGCTGGCCTTCTCCCCTGCCACCTGCCTCCCCTTGCAGGACTCGTTGATTTGCTGCCACAATTGATAAAACGCCACGGAATATTCACAAACTGAAAGTTACAATTAGTGCAGCAAATCAGCTTTCTACCAACTTTTATTGGTTTTAAGATGCCACCAAAATAAAAATCAGACGATCAATCAATACTACTGAAAAGTACAGTGGATTAAAGGCATTGAAGCTGTGTTGGGAGTCCTGGTTGCTATTTTGGGAGAAGACAGCCGAGCACTCAAAACCAAGACAGTGCATCAAAACAGTGTAGGAGGTCATTGCAGTAGGACTTGTAACTGGGAAAATGCCAGCGGGTATATGAATAAAGTCCTTCACCGAGGAAGTCACTTGAGATTTGAGTCAATGCAATATGCATCAAAGGCGCAACAAAGGCTTTCAAGGCCCCAGCAATGCTGGAGCCCTTTTCCATCTCAATTTATTCCCCCCCCTACCGCTCTATTAATTTCATTTTACACGTTATCACCTGGCAGGCCCAGCCCTCAGTCTTGTGGGACTAGTGACAGCTGAGGCCACATATTAAAACAGTTCGGAGTTTAGCACACCCTGACAATAATGATTCCTGCACTTGACATCGCGCCTATGATGGCAAAACCATCTCAAAGCAAGGGAATAGCTGTCAAGTGTAGTTATAGTTACCGTGTTTGTGTGCAAGCTTCTGACCTGCTTGTGTGGGCTGACTGAGCCCAGCTGAAACTGGAAAAAATGAGAAACACTCTGTGGTCGGACAGAACGTCCCAAGCAACTAAACTAGTTACTTGGAGTTACTTACTCATAGCTCATCTCCCCTTCTCCATGTTTCTTATCGTTGTGGAAGGATCCCCGATATGTCTGTCTGTGGGAGTCCATCAGCAACGCATGTCCTGGGAGAGAGAGCAGTGTGCATTTAATTCAAGGCACTCGCCCCAACTTGTGTTTATTCAGCACACAAAGAAAGCAACTCTCAAAAGCGCTTTTCGCTTTCAAAATCCCCACGCTTTCCATTTCTATCAAGATATTGGTTCTCAAATTCAGAGCAATACTGCTGAGAAGTGCTTTGAGCTGTTTCGAGGTTAGAGGCTCTATAAAAAAGCTACATCATTCATTCCGAATTATACAAAACAGTATATGAAACCAATGGTATAGAACAGGGAGCAGCACAAGAGAACAGAATCGGAACCTCACCTATTCTGACACCGTAATGAAACTCGCCGTCATACTGGCTTCCGTCAGCATACTTCATCACACCAAAACCTAGGACTTCCCCCTCTTTGAACTCCCCATAGTAAGTGTTACCTTAAAAAACACAGAGGCAGCAGTTTGTTACTGTAGCTTGAAGTGATTTGACAGTTTTACACTGGAATACTTTTACATGATTCCTCTATCCTGGCCAACATTCTCCCAAACAGAATCGGTGGCTGTTTGTGGAACGTTGCTCTGTGAAAATTGTCTATCACGTTCGTCCAATGAAGGCACTGCACTTTACAACATATCCAGTGAAGTGTTTTGATAAGGAAGTGACAGGTGAAGGAGTTGTATAAAATTCAAGAATTATTCTTATTATTTTGTTGTCATTCCAAACGAAAGAGAGACAGACAGAGGGGGAGTGGGGAAGAGTGCAATTAAGCATAAAACAGATAGAGGCATGAGGGGCATAAGCTCACCTGTTGCAGCCCAATAGCGAACCCCATTGCCATTTATTTCTCCATTCACAAACTGCCCCTCGTAGTAACTCCCATCCCTCATCATCAGCTTCCCATGGCCTGACGTGATGTAAACAGTAATAGATAGATTAGTTCTTCAGTCAAAAGATTGCATAAAAAATTCAGTCACCACATTTTGCCATATATGTGATTATTAAGACTTCAATATCCTCACCCTTGTCTTCAAATCCCTCCACTCCTCCGCACCCCCCGACCTCTCTGACCTCCTCTCTCCTCAAAACAGTGCCCGTTGCCTTTGTTCCTCTGGGTCTGGCCTCCTCCTTGTCCCCCGAGTCCTCCGTCAACCCTCGGCGGCTGTGCCTTCAGCCACTATGCCCCGAGGCTCTGGAATCCCCTCCTCACTCCCTTCGCCTCGCTCCCTCTCTTCCTATTTCCAGGTCTCTGCTGAAGACCTTTCTTTTCGACCGCGTCTTTGGTCACCTTCCCACCCCCCCGCCCCCCCCCCACTTCCCCCGGCTCGGCCCCAGGATCCGTTACCGTGAAGCGCTCTGAGACGCCGTCCGGCGTGGAGGGCGCTACACAAATCCAAGTTGTTGCTGTTACTATTAACAGCTGGCGCCGGCGCAATGGGCCAAACGGCCAGCCCTCCGGCCTGCGCTGTAGGATTCCATATTTCTTAAATTCCACACGTACCGTGTTTCTTGCCCGCCTTCCATTCTCCTTGGTAACGGAAGAAGCTGTTTGGGTAAATGTACAGGCCGAATCCTGTGGGGGTAAACAAATAAATGACCAGTCAGCGGACCGCAAGGCTAGAGCTCCGAGCCAAACTGCACGGTCCATTCTTTTCCTATCCTTTGCGAGGGAAGCGGAGGGCAGAGGCTGAATGGTCCGTGGTGGGCTAAAGCGGTCTGTCTACCTCAAAGCACTTCCAAGCACAGCTTGAAGGGGAGGGAGCGCTGCGGAAAAAAAAAACACAATAACATTTTGGCACATCGGAAGAGGAGGAACGATCCGAATCGGATTATGTTTTTTGTTGTTGGGTCACCCACCCCTCCACCCCCCCGGGGTCTGTCTGACCCATCGCTCCGTGCTGTGGCGGTATGCGAAAAAGATAAAAGAATTCAAATTACCCAGTGACACCAACCAGTGAACCCCTCTTCTCCCCTGTGGCGCAGGGGAGTGTGTGTGTGTGTGGGGGGGTGGGGGGGGGGAGAGGAGGGGGCTCTTCTCTCTCTTTGCAAACATTAAAATCTGCCGATTTTTTTTCCCCTTTAATTTGACAGTTGGGACACTGCCCCTTTAATTGACGGTTACATAAACTGCGCGGCGGCTCCGGTTCCCGCTCCTCACTCGGGGCACCGACACTGTCCCCTCGACCTCCTCCGCCTCCGCCTCCTCACCGTCGCGCAGCTCGTGTTTCACCTCCCCGACATAAAGCGGGGATTCTCCCTCCACCTTCTCCCTGCGCGCCATCTTCACCCACCGCGGTCCCAGCTCCAGTAAGCGCCTCTCCCATTGGCCGCCCGGACCCGCGCCGTTGCTAAGGGCGTGCGCCAATCACGGCGCCGCTCGCCACCGGGGTCAACCCGTAAGCCCCGCCCATCCCCTCACAACCCCCTCCCCCCCCAGGGACTGGTCCTCTGCAAGATGGAGGAGATGATGGATGGAGGAGAAGATGGAAGGAGGAGGGGATAGAGGGAGGGGAGGATGGAATGAGGGAGGAGCGCCTTGGGACGTCATCCTGACCCGAAAATGTCATGTGCTGTTGTGGGGAGAGCGTTTAAATGCAATAATATTTGCATTGGATGCCATGCTTAATTCCATCCAGACCCTTCACAGTCGATTGCTGTCAGTGTAGTGACTGTGTTTTTGCAGGTAGCCCATGTTTGCCTTTAGCGGTCCCGTATCAGGGGAATAAATCAGCCCAATTTCCCCATTACTAATCACTATTCCGTGGCCTCCGCCCTCCCATCCCCCCCAAACTGCCTGCAAAGCGGGGTTTGTGTAGATGTGTATCAAGGCTGTGATAATTGGCCACTCGGGAGGGGTGGGGGGGGGGGGAGGGGGTACCTGCAAGATACCAGGACTCAACTGTAGTAAAAAGTTGGCATCTTGAGAAGTGGAGAATTTAAGAGATTTTAATCCGAGCTGAGCTTGATAAAGTGGTGAAAGAACTTAAGATAGTTATAGCATATTTTCAACTGAAATCTGCCAAAATATTTCACAGTGACTGGTTTTGTAGGGAATAATAGCGAAAAGCTTAAAGAATTAACAGTGCATCAACCCATGCAATTCTGACGCTGAGTCAGAACTGTTCATTTGTGAGCAAGCAGACTGAAAAGAAGGGTGCGTCTAGTGCAAGTCTGTACTGGATCACTCCTTACCATTGAACAAGCAAACTCTGAATGGCAGCTGTCTTTGGAATTTACAAGGTGCTGAAACATTCCTTCCTCTGACAATGAAAACTTTGATTTATCTGGCATTACAGGTCTGGGCATAAAGTTACACACAAGAAGGGAAGCGATTGGTGCAGTATCTACATAATTGGACGAATATCACATAACATATTCTACAACTGTAAACTTAACTGTACGGCAATTAAATGTGTTTATTCTCCGTGGAACCAATTGCAATCTTCCTCTTTGACTGTGGAATTATTTGATACTTTAGCTGGGCATGAAATTTGTCAACAAGCCCACACTCATGGACTCTACCCTGGCTCAGTGCTCATCTTCCAGATCAATAATTCATGGCTGCTTTCTACGTACAAATTGATTGCCTCGGGTCAGCTACAAAAACAGTTACTACATTTGACAGCAATTAATTATAAAATGCTTTTATTAATAATAATCCTTGAATCTGATATACGCCTTTCCCCTCAGAAGGACGTCTAAATAGTGTCTCACAGATTTCATTGTGTAGTGAGTGTATTTTGTAGGCAAGTGTTGCAGCCAATTTGTGCAACAACAACAACAACAACAAGATTCCATTTATAGAGCGCCTTTCACGTCAGGAGGACGTCCCAAGGCGCTGCACAGTTGGGTGCAAACAGACAACGAAGTGAACGAACAATTTTATCCGGGGATTTATCAGGAGACGCGGGCAGAGAGAGAGAGAGGGGAAATGCCTTCTCTTTTGGTGTAGCTTTGCTGGATTTTTAACGCCTGCCTGAAGAGGCAGTGTTTGCGAGGTTATAAGATTAATAATATGAATTAATAGCATTAATAATAACCCGATGCAGCGCCTGATCGCACCTTTTGTGACATCTCAGAAGCGCTTCACAGTATACACCGCGAAATGAGTGGGACTGTACATTTTTGTCGGCGGCAGCCAATGGCGCGCAGCAGTGCCCCACGAACAGCCGCGGATGGAAGTGACCAATTTACTGCTGTTGTCGTTGTTGTTGTTGTTGTTATTCCCGAAGTATTACTAACCCCCCACCCCCCCCGCCCCCTCCGCCCGGAAAAAAACGATCCGCCGATCTCCTACTTACTGCGGGGCAAACAGCGGCGCGTGGAGTAAGGAGACTCGCCCCAAGGTTTCCGCCCGGGAACCGACGCCGGGCCCTCTCTCGCCCGCGAGGCCGAGCAGCGCTCCCATCGCCGCGCGGCGGGAGACCTCCCATCGCTCCGCGGCGACCACTGGCCGCTCTCCCTCTCCCCCCCCCACCCCCGGGTCGTCAAAGCGCTCCCTGTTGTCAACCTGCCCTTTGAACCCCCCCCCCCCCCCCCCACTCCTCACTCCCTCCTCCTTTCAACCCGGACGGCGCCAGTCACTTGACCGCGGGGCTGAGCTCGGAAAGTGTGGAGCTCCGCGCCATCGATGCCAAAGGGGAGGGAGGGGGGGGAGGCCGTCGATCGATCGATGACGCCGCGGTTCAGCTGGTCGGGCCTGGCGCCAGCGGCGGGAGCGAGGCCGCGGTGACGTGTTCATTCGGGGGAGCGGAGGCTGCGGCGGAGCGAGAGGCATTGGCTCAGGTAAGGCCTCGATTTCGCGGCTCGGGGTGGAGGGCGTTCTGAGCCCTCGGCAGCTCAGAGCGCTTGGCGAGGAGCCCTCAGATCGAGGCAGGCGGACGGGGTTAGCGCGCTCGCCCTCCCTTCCCGCTCCGTCCTCCTGTCCCCCCCCTCCCTCGCCCTCGGAGAAGCGCCGCGGCCCTCGAACGGTTTCAAGCGACCGGAAGTTGCCGGCGAGGCGGCCGGTGCGGGTTGGGACCTGTAGTTCTTCTGTCTCGTGACGTACGGGGATTACGTGGCGCTACGTCACTCTGAGACTACGACTCCCGTCGTGCACTCCGCAGTCCTTCTCCCTCCCACCCTCCCTGCTGTCTGGAATTTTTCTGTCGCCCATTGAGCAACTGGCTGAAGCCGCGGGGGAGGAGGAAGCTGTGGCGCCCATCGGCCGCGGCAGCGCCTTCCTTTCCGTCTCGAGTGCTCTGTCACGCCGCGAAGGCGCGCTGGGGGTGAAAGGCAGCGATCCCGGGCCTCCGTGGGGGTGACTAACGGCGGCTGTAGTTCTTTCCGAGGCGTCCGATGGGCAGGATGGCGGCGGCGGGACTACAACTCCCATGGTGCGCTGCGTGGGAGGCGCAGGCGCAGTAGCTTCCCCCCAGCACCTGATCTTTGGATCCACGTTGCTTCCTATTCGTATAGCACCCAATATCTGCTCCTCTCATCCCCTCCAAGGTAAAGGTCTGCCACTTGGGTGGTCACAGCTGTCGATTCCTAGCTTTGCCTTTCAAATAACGATTTGTGCACCTAACATAGCGTCAATAATCTTGAAATGGTGTCCCAAGGTCTTCCTCGTTAATTCATTGTCAATATACTAATAGCTCTTGCCTTTGTTTTAGCACCAAATCACGTCGTCGAGATGTCTCAAAAGCACTTGACACGATTTTACTTAGAAACTGAAACCACATAAGGGAGAAGGTGTGCGAATAAGAGTCTAAAATGCCCCAAGTCATTCAGCAAAGAAGCCTCAAATGGCAACCATGGGGTTAATTGTTTGAGGCTACTGCATGTTAGGTGGAAAATGAAATGGGGAAGGTTTCTCTGGTTGTTTGCTGGGTAAAATGTATTTTCCTTCTGCAGGCTGAGAGCAAAGCTGACATTCTTTGAATTTCTCCAGTGGTGACACCAGAGGGGTGTGCTGGAGTAGCATGATAAGGGAATGCTGCCCAAGAGGGTGATCTGATTGGAGCACAGCTTTATGAAGTCCTTGCAGAGAGGAATTGTGCGTGACCTGAGTGTCCTGGAACTGTCCGATTTAAATAATAATCCTTGCTTTTGATACTGTGCCTTATTGCATTGAACTGTCTCAAAGCGCGTCACATAATATTTATTGTACAGTGAATTGACTATATTGTGAGCAAAAATGTTCAGCGAATTGGTGTTTTCAAACTACTGTACTTGATCACCAACAACAAAATACAACAACAAAATTACATTTGTAAAGCGCCTTTCACGTCGGGAGGACGTCCCAAGGCTCTGGAATGTCTCAGAAGACAGGAATACACTAATACTGTGTATATCTCATATATTAGCAAAATGGCAGCATTGGCACTAAGAGCATTTTATTGCACTCTGCCAATGTATGGGAAACTGTACACTTTAATGCAGTAAGCTAATATGTGTGATCGTTTTCCTTCATCTCTTTAAATTAGCCCGATATCCAAGTAGTTGTCCAGTAACTCACACTAGTCTTGAATAGCTCAATATTTTGCAGATGATCTGATTTTTGTGGTTAGCTAATGCATTGTCCTAATGCTATGTCGTGGTTCATCAAATTCTCCATCAGTATGTTAGCTATGTTCTACAATGTATACTTTGCCAACAAACACACAATCTCTACACTCTATAGAGTATATCATGCAAAGCGCTTTGAGACATTTCAACTACGTGATAAGAAGCTATATCAAATACAAGGATTATTATTGCTTCCTATGTCTTGACTTTTTCTAATTATAATAATTTGGTCACTCTATCCACAACTGTTTATGGTTCACTGCTGTGTGCAATTGGCTGTCATGTTTCACCCACAAAATATACAGTGAATTCACTTTAAAATATATCCTGTGACGTGTTTTGAGACATCTTGAAGACGCCATAAGGCGCTATATCAAATGCAAGGATTATTATTATTTTTCATTATTTATGAAAGCATTGAAATGATTGGGTGTAGTTAGGGAACTTATTTGATTTGTGAGTGAGTAAGAGTAATCGGGATTGAATTAGCAGCAGCTCATGTTTCGGAGCATCAATGCAGTGGGGTAAAGTTTTGTATCCTCTCCATGCAATTCTCATAGGGGTGACTGAGGTGGCAGGCGCACAGGCAGGGTTGACTGAATGGCCTCATCTGTGCAGAAAATTCCGTTTTTCAGGGTGTTGACTGTAGGGAGCCTGTGGAGCTTAGTGAGGAATTGTAGTGATAGATTCACGGAGCTGAGTGTGGGAGCTCAGCTCAGCTAACTCTGCCTTGGAGATTTCATGTCCCCAAGTCCGATCTGCCCAACCAGCAGTAGATGAGCTTTCAGACATTCTGCCCCCGCTCTCTGGATACATAACGTTGCAGTAAATTAACATGAGGTTTCCGCAGTTTTGTGCTGCGTGTGTTGATTTCTCTCTATTCCTGTGCACCATGGAATAGTCATGGGCGACTCATTTGCATCTTGTTTGCAAAGTGAAGTCTGCACTTCAGTTTCTTCCTAATGAGAGACATTTAGTCACAAAAGCAATAGAATGTTTGGCTTGTTTTCAAAAATGATCTCGTCTTGAGAGACAAGGAGGCACTTTGATTAAAGGAGATGGCAAATACTGTAATAATATAATCCTTGCATTTGATATACCATCTTATCACTTCTTTGAGAAGTCTCAAGGCATGCACCGAATATACTGCAAAGTGAATTGACTGTATACTTTGCGGGCAAAATGCAAAGGTTAAAAGTTTACAATGAAAAAGATAAATTCTGATTAAGGGAGTTCCGAGTCAACCTGGGTGGGAACCTGCGTCACTGACAGGGTTGTTAATGACTATTTTTACCAATGGGGGAAAAAGGGCAGAAATTGAAGTGAGATAATTCCGAAAGGCTAAGTAACCCATTAGGCAAAGTACTCCAGAAGCTTTTCCATTTCTGTGAATTAGAGTGGATAAGGAATGTAACAAAATATTCATAGACAAATTCAGAGTGAGCAGCCTTTAAGAAGAATCTGGTGTAAGGGGCTTTGATTGACTTTGAATCTATTTTTTCCTCAATGTATTTCAATCCTGGGAATGAAAGGCCTTTTAGCTTGAGTTTATTTTTATGAATGAAGTAACTCGTGGATTTTCTAGAGAGAGTAAAGAGGCATTGCATTTTTTAACTGAGTTACAGCGAAGCTCCCGTGGGTGATATGATTGAAACGAGCCGTGACATTTTTAGTGTGTCACTGTGAATAAAATTAAAGAGTGTCAGATTTGGGCTACAGTAGAGCTCTGTGTTGTAGGGGCCTTGCAAAAAAGCAGCACTTAACACGTGGTCCTGTGTGTGTGGAGCGCCCTGATGTTTAATGCATGACCTAGTGAGGATCTGAGCTCGGGAGATCGCAGGTTTGATCAGCACAGGCTACCAAGTTTACCAACCCCTTTTAGCCTAGACACAGTAATTCAGTTGCCGAGTTCCTATCCCACTCACATGATTGCTCCCCACATCCTTCAACAGACCTCCTTTTCAAGCATCTAATTATTTTTTAAAAGAAATGTGGACTCTGTCACAACTATAGTTTATGTTTCCATATTCTAACCACCTTCTGTGTAAAGATTTTTTTCCCTGAATCTACCATTTAATTATTTTTGTGATCGCTTAAATTTCAATGCTACCTTCAGCACCCTTCCCATCTCTCTCCCAAGTCCACATCGCTTTTTGATTATTCGCTGTCAGCTTTTCCCATCATTGTGAAGCAGAATTCACCAAGCGTTGGAGTGTACAACCAATAATAGGAAACTTGATATAAACACAGAAGTCGCTGGGAACAGGCAGCAGATCAGGCAGCATCTACGGAGAGAGGAAAATTAGCTAACGTTTCAGGTCAATGACTTTTCGTCAGAACTGGGGAGATAGGGAATTTGAGCTGGGTTTAAATGATGGTGAGTAGGTGAGTTTTACTAATGGTATGTTCCCCTCCCTAATGCACATTGTTGAATAGAGAGCAGTATTGGGATCGAGCCAGGTTTGAGACTGAACTATTGTACAGCAAAGTGGGCTTGGTATCTAGTTATTCCAGCAGGTTGTGTTGGAGACTCAAAAACTTATTATTTTCTATTGAGAGTTCAGCACATTTTCGTAAGCATTTGGCCACGTCATCCTCAATATTTATTTTTCTTTCCAATGTTTGGGGGAGTTGCAGGAATACACAGCAAGTCTGTCCTCAATGTTTAATTGGAGTTTCCTGGTGCTGCAACTGGTTCCCATTCAGCAACTTGCTTTTCCACTTTGTGTAGAAATGTGTGTGTGTGTGTGTGGGGGGGGGGGGGGGGGGGGGGATGGTTGGGGGGTTTATTTCCAATCTGAATCACGAGATAGCTGGGAACTAAATTAAGGACTCATTAAAAGAAAATATGATGATCTGGAATGATTTAAACATAAACACACTTTTATCTAACAAACCGGTTACGTAGTTAAATGTCGGGCCCCAGATAATGTGCTTTGTATCTCAGAGTTGAAGTGTCTCAGTGTCAGTGTATCCTCTGTAATATGTTCAAATCATTTAGGGTTTGGATGTATTGACGTTTTAAGATCGGACAAAAAGCACCTAAAACCTTGATTTTTGCCTAAACTGTAAAAACTGTTTCCTTGTCTGTTTCTAAGGGATGTTAACCATCACGTCTTTGAGATGTCTCAAAGCGCTTCATAGAATATACTATAAAGTCGATTGACTTTTGTTTTAATCTCTTCAGATCTACCACTCCACTTGCTGCGCTGCTGTCTTGGAAACGGATTCCTGCTTTATTTACAGTTGACAGTTTCAACTTTTTTTTAAAACCAAACTCCTGATCCATTGGTGGTGTTGGGGGGAGAGAGTAAGAGCAGTAATGTTTATAGAAACCCTCTTCTTTTAGTCTCTAGGCACTCATCACAATTGAAAGAAGAAAAATGCCTGAGGGGGCTTCCCAATAATCGCTGTTGAGTGTAGGAACTCTCTATAGATAGAGGCTGTAGCTGTTTTGTACTCAGTAAGGGCCTCACCCACAAGTGGGAGGTGAATGATCAGTTTTATCTGGAGGATTGTTGCCATCCAGGTATCTCAAGGAAACTCCCTTCTCTGTTCCAATATTGGTGTGGGACCTCTAATATTCACCTGAAGAACGGTCAGGTTGAATGCCGTCTGCTTTTTCAGGTGGACATTAACAACATTAAAGATCCTATGACACTATCTAAAAATCGTCCCCTCCCTTACCTCCTTCAAGACCTGTCTCAAAACCCTCCTCTTCGACCGTGCCTTCAGTCACCCTCCTTCTCCCCCCCTTGCCCTCCATCCTCCCCAATCCCGAACCCCAGTGCTCGGGTCCAAAGCACTGATTGCCCACCACCTTGGGACGTCCTCCTGACGTGAAAGGCGCTATACAAATATAATTTTGATGTTGTTAAAAAGAGAAGGCAGTTTTTCCCGGTGTCCTGGCTAAACAATTGAGATGTCCTCCCGGCATGAGGTGCACTACACCAACGTGAGGATTGTAGTTTACTCCCTCCCCCCACCCATTAGTTGTTTATTTCAAGACAGTCACTACATTTTACAATGAATCGGGTGAAGCAATTTGAGACTTCCTCCTGACATGGAAGGCGCTAATACAAATGCTAGGGTTATTATTATTATAATTAACTAAATGATGTGAGACACTGCAGTAATTCAATTTGTTTCAGTGGAAATTGACCCTAATTGTCTTAATAGTTCAGTGATATTTAGACGCAGGGTGGAGGGGCGATTTCAAGGGTAAGTTTCACTTCACGGAAATGTCTTGATTTATGAAAACGTAACCACTGCCTCCTCGGTCCAATTGGAATAAAAGGCAATAAAATTCTGACGCGTCCGTGCTTTGACCCAGCTCTTCCCAACGGTGAGACTAAAGGTTTATTTGGGTGGCCCTCGCTGTTACTGTGCAGCTTAAACGTTTCGCTGACTGCATGGAAATGATCTGAGCTGTTCTAAAGTCTGCCGTGCTGTAACAATCCGGTTAACAAGCTGCTGATTAATGGGAGATGGAATTGTTTCATGTCATAAAAGGAATATATGTGTACCGTAAAACCTGGTGTATAAGACGCATCTGATTGGAAGTCATTTCCTTACTATGTGGTGGAGGCACACAGGAAGCATTTCCTTCCCTCCGAGCGTGAATTTGCCTTGTTTTTGGAGTGGAGCAGGAGTGACAGTAGTGTTGTTAGTGTGGTATGGTATTTTTGAGCTTTTGTTATAAATGCGTGTGCTCATGTGAAACTTCATTTTGTGTTTCTAAGCAGCATGTCGGAAGGGGACAGCAGTGGAGATGCCATTCATGGTAAACCATCGACGGTTGGCATGTTTTTTTCACGGTTGGGACAGGTAACGATCTTCCCGAGTTATACATTTCTTCTTTATTTTTGCATCTAAGACAACTCGTTCACAAACTAAGAGTTTCTAAATAAACGCTTTCTCTGCTTTTCTTCTGAAAAAAAATAACCTTCTCGTTCTAGGTCTACCAATCACTCTTAGACAAGTCCACGCCCTTCACAATTGTGCGATGGGTTGTAACGTTTCTTTTTGGTGCAATCTACATGATTAGAGTTTATATCCTACAGGTGAGTGAAGTTTGTATCTTCTACTTTGTATGTGGGTCCAGGTACCAGACTCCAACTGATGCCTGGAACCACATACAAGGTAGCCAGTTTGCGCACAGCAATATCCCGCAAACAGCCACAAAATGAGTGATCGATTTTATCTGAGGGATTGCTGATATAAGCCTTGGTGAAGACACGCATAAGTTTTTTTTTCTGGGCCAACTTTTCTTCCACTTTTAATTGCATGAGTGCCAGCGTTGTGAGCGTTCAGGCGCTCCAGAACGCTACCCATGTGAAGGGCGTGATGTAAATGCAAGTTGTTGTTGTGGAGTCCATGCTGAATCTGTTTTTCCATTGCAGGGATGGTACATTGTGACTTACGCACTGGGGATTTACCATCTGAACCTCTTCATTGCTTTCTTGTCTCCCAAAGTTGACCCTTCACTAATGGAAGATTCAGGTAATGTCATTTCACTGGAATGTGTCTCTTGGCAATGTTTTTTTTTCTCATCTCCTGACGGGTTTGTTTCATTCTTGTACAGTAGCGAGCCTGATATTGACACTATCTGGTATCTCCTATTTGGATATGAAAATCATTTGGAGATTTTGTGTGTGTGTGTGTGTCTCTCTTTCTCTAGCCATGTACTTACCACTCGAGCTCAGGCAAAATCCATGAATCTGGATACATCTTGTGCCTGTGCGTAACTAATTGTTTTTGCCGACATGTAGCCCGGCTTCACTGATGCAGGCAGTCAGTGTGCAGTTCTGTGGCATTCCACTCTATTGAAGTATGATGCCGCTTCGGGTGTTCTCCAGTGTGTGAACCTTGGAAAGTGTGAGCCCTCCACCGTGTGAATGTCTCACTCATCCAGTTCTCCGTGGCCTGCAGTCTCACCTTCTCCCAACATGCGCTAATGAGATCTCTCTCTCTCTCTTCCCAGACGAGGGGCCAGCTTTACCGACAAAGCAGAACGAGGAGTTCAGACCATTTATAAGAAGGCTGCCAGAGTTCAAGTTCTGGTAAGTGTTCAGTCCCTGTGTTTGACATAATTTATAAAATTCCCTAACCTTCGATGGTTGGGGGGTGGGGGGGGGGGCGGGGATGCTGAGACCAATTGCAGTACCCTCCTGTCACCCTGGCTGTGATTGTCTAACTCAGCCCCAGGCTGGAGATGAAGCCTGGGAGCTTTCCCTGCTCTGTTCGGCTCAGATGCTCACTGAATTAACTCTGAGCTGTGGGTGGGGGATGGTGGGGAGCGGGGTGGAAGGGATAGAGGACAACGACTTTTTTCTTAGTTATGTTCCTGATTGATTAAAGCATTCTTGTGGGACAGCGTACTCGAGTGTCTTCACTGGTGTGACCTCCCTTCTGTGTAACCTTCGCAGGCATTCCGCTACAAAAGGAATCGTGGTGGCGATGTGTTGCACTTTCTTTGAGGCCTTCAACGTGCCCGTTTTCTGGCCAATTCTGGTCATGTACTTCATTATGCTCTTCTGCATTACCATGAAGAGGCAGATTAAGGTAAATGGGGGCGCCGGGGCTGGGGTGTGACGTATGGAGGATGGGAGGGTGGTAGTTAGCGGGCTGGGGGAGGGAGAAGGGCCATGACGGGCCGGGAATGGGATGGGAGAGATTCACAGCAGACTGGGAATGGAGCCGCACGGGCTCAGCGATGCTCCTCAGTGTGTGCTCAGTGGGAGGGGAAAGGATTTCTATCTGATGTTCCCTGAAGAGCAAATTCCTAATGGCGTCTACTTCGGCAGAGGCCGGTGCATGCACAGAGCTGGGAGTTGCCTCTGGGATGCTTTCTTGCAGCGCATTGTTGGGGGTGGGTGGGTGGGGGGGCCAGGCTGCGCTGACCTTGTCTTCCTGGCTGGCGGGTGGGGGGGCAAGAGGGGATGCAGCATGCACAAGACTGTAAATGGAGAGGAGCAAACAATTTGTTCCTTAATTGATTGCTGTAATTATTGTAATAAGGGCTCCTCAATAGTAATGATAATGGGGAATAGCCCACTGAGGGCCTCTAGTGGAAGGCTCGGGGTACTGCAAAAAGTTTGACAGCACCTCGCAGGCTTCAAATACAGTCACTTTTTTTTGTAAGCAAATTCAGCTCATTCTGCTTCTCTTCCCTCCTTTTTCCTCCCCCCCCCCCCACCCCACCCCCCACCCCCCCCGCCGCCTGCCTACCTGCCGCCTTCAACAGCATATGATCAAGTACCGATATCTACCGTTCACACATGGCAAAAGGACATACAAGGGGAAGGAGGAGCCCGGGAAAACATTTGCCAGTTAGAAAATGTGACTTTCCACGTTCCTGGAATTATATTCTCTACCGCCCCCTCCCTCTCCTCACTCCCTCCCTCTCCCCCCGCATCTCACCCTTTACACGTAAATTTTGGACAATAATCGCAGTGACAACTCTGTTCTTATCATGTCTACTCAAGGCCTTGCTGAAGGGTACATTTTAGGTGATTTAGTTGAGATTATTTTGGATGACACAAGATGTCTTTATAAAATATCGATTTTTTTTTTCTCCAACCTTTTTTTGGATTAATTTATAGGTGACCGCACTTAGAAAAAAAAACAACCAGTTAACTGTATTCGATACGCCAGTTATTTCAAATGTACTTTGTCACTTAAACGAAACAAAAAAAGGATAAAAAAAAACAAATCAAAAGATCAATAATGTGTTTGGTAGAAAAAAAATGGGTTTCTTACATCGGCGGCTTTGCAAAAACGCCGTGTGTGTTTCTGTAAAGCTACTTTTCAGTATTACCAGAAACATTAAATCTACGTGAAGGAGTTGTCTGTTGGTATTTTAAACTTTTTTTTCCATGGAAGGTTGTAGAGACTTTCTTCTGGTCCAGCAAATTATTTTCTTTTGAAGCTCATTTTAAACAATTGAAATTTGCTTTTGAGATTGTCATAAGGGGTTGGGATTCCGAATGGGGAGTGGGGGAGAACTTGGTTGGGATTTTTCTTCAGGAGGGGGACGGTGGGAAACGAGGGAAAACAATTCAGTCAGGCTGCAAAAAAAAAAGATTGGAAGAGGCCAGGCTCTGGGATTTCGAAGCCAGTGTGTCAAGCGCAAGAAATAGTATTTGTTTTTCTATATAAAAAGTAATGCCACAGAACAAGTGGGAGGTGTGTGTGTTTATCAGAGGGGGGGAGGGGGGGAGAGGATGTAATTCTACAATCCATCCCTCACTTAGGAATATGCAGAGAGCCCTGTGTCTCTCTGGATACCATCAGGACACATACTTTTACATAATATGGGGATAGTAATAAAAAAAATCATACCTTTGGTTTTCTGATGGTATTGATGCTGTGGGTTCGAGATTCTGAGATTTGATTTTTTTTATATATATATATAAATATTAAAGTTGCCCTCAGTAGATTCCAGAATTTAAAACGATATAACCAGTGTGAAACCTGTACTTTGTTTTTAACGCACATTAAACTGCTCAGGCTCGCATCCCAAAGGCTTTTGAATGAATGTAGCTTTTGGATACAGCGGAGCAATCGCTCGTAAAGGGATATATGGTGGAGGGAAGAGAAGGGGTCGCCAAAATATTTAATCTTTAAAGCAATTGGAAAGCTTACACTTGAGGTGAGAGGCAGTGGAACGGAGAGTGGAGATGTGAAACGAGCAATGCGGGGGATTAACTGTTTAAATCGCTGGTGAGAGCTAGTAGCCCCTCCCATGGCAATCGTGAGGGTGAACGGGATGCTTGCGGGTTCAGTTCAGACTGGTGTATGTCAGCTGCGGCTGATGTTTTAAAATCAGGCAACCTTTTACAGGATAAAAGCAGGTGGACTGTGGTGCTTTGGCAAGATTGGGTTAAGATTGGGTTTGTCGTACTGTGAGTCTCACTGCACTCATGTGCTGCCCAGTACAGGCACCCGATCTGGTTATTTGCATGTGAAATTGCCTATCGAGCAGCATTCACATCGGACAGGTAGGAATTCTGGTTTGTAGCCAAATTTAAAATGTATTTAACCTTCCACCCGAGGCGATAACCTGCCCTCCTGTCACGTGCTGCAGTGGGTTATATCCGTGCATTTTTTGTTTTGGAACGGCTGAAGTATTGATTTAAAGAGATTTGAAACCATTTCCTCTTGTTTGTGTGTGTGTGTGTGTTTTTATTTTTTAAAAAAATCCTCCCTACATTGAAATGCTTTTGAGTGTGTTTTTTTTGTATCCTGGACATGGAGTGAGGGCCCTGCCAAGTAAGGTGGTCGGGGCAGAGTCCATCGTAGGTTTCAAGGGGGAAGTGAACATGTGCAACGCAAGTTAGAGGCTTGAAGATCTTGCAATCTCATAGAACGTGTGTTTGTATAGCGCCCTTCACATGAGGCAGCGTCTCCATGTGCCAATTTATTTTAAAGAGCAAGAGGTGGGAGGGAAAGAGCACTCGCCTATTTTTATATACTGAAATATACATAACTGTATACATTTGCATATACCACTGCCACCTGATAACTTGTGATTCTTTTCATTAATAATTATCTTGTTTCGAGTGTGACTGTGCAGGGGGGAGAAAAGTTTTATTTCTTGTCGGGGGGGGGGGGGGGCAGAAAGACCTCGTAGTCCCAATCCCAGGTAAACTCTGAGGGATGATCACTTTGAATGTTGTTCACTCGTCATCAATCTTTTCATTTGATCAGTGCCCAAAAATGTCAAGAGATCAATAGAGTTTCACCGATATTTATTGTCATATTTACAAATATATACATCTTAGTTGCATATTTCTAGGCAAATGTTGCAGCCATTTTATGCCATAAATTGAATGACCAATTTTATCTGGAGGATTGTCGGCCAGGACACCACGAGGAACTCCTTTTCTTTTTCCAATAGTGTTGCAGAGTCTTTAAGACACATTTCATGGAAACATTTTATGTCTCCTCTGTAGGATGTCATTGCTGGTAAGTCAGTGCTCCTCCCCTCATATTGCACAGGGAATGTCTGCCTGGACTGGGAGCTAACGACCCATTTTTGGGGCTCGAACACAGAACGTTGTCAAGCGATTCCCCTTCTCCTGATTAGGAACCCCAAACAACATCCCGTATTTCAATCCTGCCTTCCCGAATGTCCCAACGATGCACAAATGGGGGTAAAATAACTCTTGTCTGCAAGGCACAGGCGTCGAGATCGACAAAATTGTGACAATATTTTTTGGTTCCTGTGGTAACTGCTGTTAGTGACAGATTGTCTTCTGTCGTTCTAACATGAAGCATCTCCCGGATAAGATGTGCGACTCTAGCGCTCACGGCGATTTCCACCTGCTCGTCCTAACCAAAGTGCCGCAGGTAGATGAGCCGGTGAGGTTCGAACTTCTCCCGACACAGTGGGCACTCTGCCTACAAATCAACACAACACAGTTTACATTTGTACACGTGCCTTTTTCATATCAGGGAGACAACACTAACAATTTGCATTTATATAGCGCCCTACACCCAGGGTAGTGTCTCGGAGCACTTATCGATGGAGGAGCCTGATGCCAAGGTGGGGGGGAGGGGGGTAGCCGAAGGCACGCTGGAAAAGTCTTCAGGCGTGAGCTGAAAAATGGGGAAAGAGGGCAAAGTGAAGGGATTGAGGGAGAGAGCCTCGGAGTGTACAGTGGCTGAAAGTAGTAAAGTACCAAAGCGCTTAATGCTGGGCCAGGACAGGGGGAGCAACCTCCCTTTTCCGACAGTGCCACCCTTAGTTTTTTTCAACATCCACCTGAAGAGCAAACCCTCACAGCTGACAGTGATCTGCTGCCGACAACTGGAATCTTATGAATCGCTCCAGTCGGTGGTGACTGTTGCCCTGTGGTACTAACGGATGCGTCCAGAGCCTCACCTTGGTGTTGCACCACTCGGTGATGCACTCCCAGCAGAAGAGGTGGCCGCAGGGGGTGGCCGTTGAGTGTCGGCGTTTTTCAAGACACAGGATACACCTGGAATGGCGACTGGTGGCCAAGTCGTGGGCACTGTTGCTGTGAGTGAGAGAAATAACTGCGAGGAAAAATGCTCTTGCCAAGACGAGTCCCCAACTTAGCACAATTTTGCTTAGCCTCAAAATCTTGAGATCTGACACGGACTCAAAGCTGAGCTTCAACCGGGCTGAAATCCCACTGCTTCTCCCCCTCCCACTTCCTTTTTACCTCTTCCACTTAAAAAAAAACACGTGATGTCAAAAGTAGCCGAGGTTACGACGTGTGCGTACCTGGAGCTGGGAAGGTTCCTGTGAAGCTGCCACTCCTGCCTGGCTCTTCTCCGCTGCCGGTGCCCGTTCACCTGCACGGCCACGCTCAGCACCAGCTGCAGCAACGAGAGCCACCCCAGCAGCCGGTAGCTGGCCCGAACCCCCGAGTTGTCAGCTCGTTGGCTCCGCACACACAGCTACACACACGGGAGGGAATCAGGGGAGAGCATTCATTAGCCACGGGCACTCTGTACACAGCATATACAGTCAATTCACTTTACAGTATATTCTGTGAAGGGCTTTGAGACGTCTCAGAGACGTGATAAGTCGCTATATCAAAGACGAGGATTATTATATTAACACCGTCCACAGTGCCCTCTCTCTGTCCACGTGGGTTGCCAACTCTGGTTGGGTGTATTCTGGGAGGATTGTTTACCATCATAAAGTGAGACAGTACTGATGTAGTGTTGTCAAGCTCTATGATGTTCCTAAGCCTTCAAGGATTGCTTATGAGTTTTCTTCTGGGTCGCTCGTAGCAGTGTCCGGGAGATTAACCTTCAACACCTGGAGACTCCAGGACAATCGGGGGAGGGTTGGCAAACCTACTGTACACCAAGTTGAGTCGCTTCTCCCCACTCCCCCCTCCAGTATTACTTGGGGTGAAACAAGCGACTTACGTAGGTGATGCCGGTAATCCTCTTGGCCATGTGGTAGTACATGCCGTTCAGGTAAAAAATGCCGAGGTGCAGCCGGTGAAGGATGGTGACCGCCTGCCGTAGGAGGCTGATGCTGAGTTCGATCACTTTCCTTTGCTGCTCGCTCAGGCCCCCCACTGCCCGGTGCAGCAAGTCTCCGAGGTTCCACGGTGCCCCCGTCCCGCTCTCCGCCGACCTGGCCTCTCTCTGCAGCCCCCCCTCCAGCCGGTGCAATCCCCGCTCCAGGAGGTAGGGGAGGCAGGTGTGAAGGGCGATCAGCGCCGCCCGGCGCAACCGCGATGGAATCGCCCGGCCGCTCGGGGCCACCTGCACAATGTTCACATACTCCTCGCCCAGAGTCTGGTAACCTGCGAACGATGGAGATTTACCATATGATAGCACCGCACCCATGGCACATGCTGTACTACTCTCCCGGCATGCACCATAACAACCTGGCAACACGCCACGAGCCACGTAAAGGACTGTAAATGCCACTGATCAACACACTGAGAAGCGTCTCACCTGCCAACGTTGTGAGAGTGAAGTAAGTTAAGTCGGCCAATAACTCGATCTCCTTCCTCCATTCCAGCCACCTCTTCATACCTGAAAATCAGCACCAAACGTGGCAGGTTAGGGACACAGTAAAGATCCCTCTACACTGTCCATCCACACTTACTCATCGGGGTTACAGACAACAACAACAAATTACAATTGTAAAGCGCAGGAAGGACATCCCAAATCGCTGGACAGTCAGGGATTTGGATCCAAACTGGGATCAACAACAACTTGCATTCATATGTCCTGTAGCTCAGTGGTTAGAGCACTCGCTTTGCGAGCGAGACACCTGGGTTCAATTCCCGGCAGAGGGCGAAACCTTGGGCAAGTTTCCTTACTCCACACAGAGCCTAATAATAACCCCTCCAAAAACCCAAAACAATAATAAATTGGTCATTTTCAATCTACGACTGTAGATTGCTGTACGCAATTGGCTGCCGCGTTCGCCCACAAATATACAGTCAATTCACTTTATAGCATATCCTGTGAAGCGCTTTGGGACGTCGAGAAGACATGGAAAGCGCTATAAATGCAAGGATTATTATTATTATTATATAGCGATCCTCACACAAGGTTGTGACACAGAGCGCTTGACAGTGGCCATCAGGAGGGGTGGAGGGTGATCAGTGGTCACAGGGCCAGACCAGACCCCCGGGACCTCTTTCCGACGTGACGGGCGCTGTACGAGTGTAGTTTGTTGTTAAGAGAGTAAAGCAGTCTCCAAAGGGTCACCTTCCTGACCCCCATCTCTCCTGACAGCCTGGGGGGGGGGGGGGGGGGGCTGGGTCTCTGGGGGTTGGATTCCTGGGGGCCTTGAGGGGGAGCGAAAGGGGGCTGGATCCCGGGGGGGAATGGGGGGTGCTGGGTTCCTGTGGGGGGGTGTGGGGGTGGGGTTCCTGTGTGGGTGTGTGGGGGGGGGGTGGGGGGTGTGTGTGTGTGGGGGGGGGGGGGTGACTGACCCGCCAGGCTCTGGCCGCTCTCCCCGGTGGGGGGGGTGTGTGTGGGGGTGTGTGTGTGGGGGTGTGTGTGGGGGGGGGTGACTGACTGGCCGCTCTCCCCGGGTGGGGGGGTGTGTGTGGGGGTGTGTGTGTGTGTGGGGGTGTGTGTGGGGGGGGGTGACTGACCCGCAGGTGTGGCGTTGGTGGGGGGGTGTGTGTGGGGGGGTGTGTGGGGGTGTGGGGGTGACTGACCCGCCAGGCTCTGGCCGCTCTCCCGGGTGGGGGTGTGTGTGGGGTGTGGGTGTGTGTGTGTGTGGGGGGGGTGTGTGTGGGGTGTGGGTGTGGGGGTGTGTGTGGGTGTGTGTGGGGGTGTGTGTGTGTGTGGGGGGGTGACTGACCCGCCAGGCTCTGGCCGCTCTCCCGGGTGGGGTGGGGTGTGTGTGGGTGTGTGTGGGGGGGGAGGCTGGGGTTCCCGGGGGTGTGGTGTGTGGGGTGTGTGTGTGTGGGTGTGTGTGGGGGGGGTGTGCATGTGTGTGTGGGGGTGTGTGTGTGGGGGTGTGTGGGGGGGTGTGTGGGTGTGGTGTGGGGGGGTGTGGGTGTGTGTGGGGGTGTGTGTGGGGGGGTGTGTGGGTGTGTGGGGGGTGTGTGGGGGTGTGTGTGGGGGTGTGTGTGGGGGGGGGGGGAGGCTGGGGTTCCCGGGGGGGGGTGTGTGGGGGTGGGTGTGTGTGGGTGGGGGGGGTGTGTGTGTGGGGTGTGTGTGGGGGTGTGTGTGTGGGTGGGGGGGGGTGTGTGGGGGTGGGGGGTGTGAGGCTCTGGGTTGGTGGGGGGGTGTGTGGGGGGGTGTGGGGGTGTGTGGGGGGGGGTGACTGACCCGCCAGGCTCTGGCCGCTCTCCCGGGTCTGGAGTCTCAGGAAGTTGATGTAAAACTCGTCTTTCTGACAGGAGCGGAGCAGCTGCGGCTGATTCCCCGCCCGCGGCATCGTGTGTGTGTGTGTGTGTGTGAGGGCAAGTGTCAGGGTCTGTGTGTGTGTGTGTGTGAGGGCAAGTGTCAGGGTCTGTGTGTGAGGGTCTCCGTCAATGTCGCGGCTCCGTCTCCGGCGTCACACTCCCGCCGCAGCGCCACCTCCCGGGCTCCCGCCGCCAGGGCCGCCTCACACCCCACACACACCCACACACACACACACAGCACCGACACCACAACAACAACGACGAATGACACTGATGATGTGATGTTGGGTGGGGGGGGGTGAGGGGGGTTGGGTGGGGGGGGGTTGAGGGGGGTTGGGTGGGGGGGTTGAGGGGGGTTGGGTGGGGGGGGTTGAGGGGGGTTGGGTGGGGGGGGTGAGGGGAGTTGGGTGGGGGGGGGGTTGGGTGGGGGGGGTGAGGGGAGTTGGGTGGGGGGGGGGGTTGGGTGGGGGGGTGAGAGGAGTTGGGTGGGGGGGTTGAGGGGAGTTGGGTGGGGGGGGGTTGGGTGGGGGGGGGTGAGGGGAGTTGGGTGGGGGGGGGGGGGGTTGGGTGTGGCGGGGGTGAGGGGAGTTGGGTGGGGGGGGTTGGGGTGGGGGGTGGGGGTTGGTGGCCGCAGCGGCGGCCGAAGACACGGTCGAAACGGAGGGTCTTTAGACTGGATTCGAAGGAGGCAAAAGAAGTGGGGGGTGAGGCGGGGGGGGTGAGGGGGGGGTGAGGCGGGGGGGTGAGGCGGGGGGGGTGAGGCGGGGGGTGAGGCGGGCGGATCGCGAGGTAGACTTCCAGAGTGTCGGGGCTGAGACGCTGAAGGCCGACCGCCAATGGTGGGGCGGGAAGGGCGGGGGACCTGAAGCGGGTCACGGTGTCCGCCGGGCGGACGGGCTGACCGAGGGCTTATGGGGTCGGAGAGGTAGCATGGGGGGAGGGGGGTTGGGGGGAGGGGGTTTGGGGGGGAGGGGGGTTGGGGGGAGGTAGCAAAGACCATGGGGGGCTTTGAAGGGGAGAGCGAGGGGTTTTGTACTCGATCCTCTGAGGCTCTGGAACTCCCTTCGTCTCGCCCCCTCCCTTCCCATTTTCAGGTCTCTGCTGAAGACCTTTTCGACCGCGTCTTTGGTCACCTTCCCCCCCCCCCCCTCGGCCCCTGCCCCCCCCCCACCCGGCCCCTCTCCCCCCCCCCCCCCCGGCTCGGTCCCGGGATCCGTTACGGTGAAGCGCTCTGAGACGCCGCCCGGCGTGGAGGGCGCTACATAAACCCAAGTTGTTGTTGTTGTTGGATGGGGAGTCAGCGAAGCCGGGCGAGAGCGAAGGGTGATTGGTTCGCGGAGCCCGGTGCGGGAGAGGACACGAGCTGCAGAGTTTCGAAATGTCTGCCGCTCGTGGAGGAGGGAAGAGTTCGGGAAGTCCAGTGAGCGGGCGGTTGGTGGAGTCAAGCGGGACGTGGCAAAAGCTTGGATCAGGGTCTCGGTGGCCTGTGGTAGAAGAGGCAGAGGACAGAGCCCTGAGGGACGCCACACGTGACGGCGCGGGGGCTACAGGAGAAGCCGGTGGTGGACACGAAGTGCAGACGGTGGGAAAGGTAGGATTGGAACCAGGCAATGGCAGAACTGTTGAGGTGGATGTGAGAGGAGGCGGTAAGAGTGGGCACACACACACACACACACACACCCTGACCCTGACACCATCGCACACCCTCACATCCACACGCTCTGATCGACACACGGACACTGACCCGCGCACACCCTCTCACGTTCACACTGATTCTCACGTGGACACTCACACGACCCGTCATACAACAAACAACAAATTACATTTGTATAACCGCCCTTCACGTCGGGAGCATGTCCCAAGGTGCTGTACAAATTCCCATAGACACGCTGACCCCGGGTGGAGGCGGTTGGGGTGGGGAGGGGTGTGATACGGCCCCGTGTTAAACCGGAGTCACTCAAGAGTACGGCTGATTCACTGCAGCCATTGCAAGAGACAAACAAAGGAGTGGCAGAGTGTGTTTTATTTGTGCAGCTGGTCCAGGAGTCGCTGTATAAAGCCCTCTGTTTATCTCCTTTATTCATTGTGCAAGTCCACCCGTGCCCAGCGGTGCCTTGACCCACCAGCCGCTATTTGTGGGCGACCTTGATCCCGATGGGAGGGGGGAGATGGGGGTTAGAGAGGAGAAATCACAGCCATAATCTTGTGCCCACTCAACCTCTGCTTACACACGCACCCACACACTTTCCTGTGGGGGCAGAAGCCCGGGCTGACTATCCTCTCCCTAACCCTGCGAGGTGGGGGGGGGGGGGGGTGGAGGGGGTCGGGGCTGAGATCACACCCCAACGATGACCGGCCCTTTACACACACATACACAGAGCTACGTATTGAGAAGGAGAAAGAGAGAGAGACGCACTTGGCACCGCACAGAGTACTATTCAGAAAGATCCTGTATCTGACCGAATACTTGGCAAACTCTCTCCGCCCCACCAGTGCGGTCAGTTTCTTCAAACGGGACCCTCAAAGGAGGGAGGGGAGCGTCACCTGTGGTGCTCAGACCCAGGAGAAAGTGTCCTGGCCGCCCGCCCTCCCACTCAAAATAAATTGCTTGTTCATCTCTCGTGCGACACGTTTGATGTTGTGCAAAATGGCTGACGTGTGTGGCTAAGGATTACACCCCCCCCCCAGCGAATGAACCTCAGAGCAATCGGGCTTTCAGGAAATCAGGTCCCAGCACCAGAGAAATGGACCCACTGGACAGCAACAGCCCAAACTTTGTGCAAAGAGTGGCATCAGCTGAGCTGAGGAGCAATAAAAACCACCTTTGGAACAGGTTCTTATAGCTTAATCATCCGCGGTAATTCAGGCTGAACCTGTCTCTGTCTATTGTGTGCCTTGGCTCGGCGCGTGGCTGTGTGCATGCGTGTGGGTGAACACATGGTCAGTGCCGTGTGTGTGTGTGTTGTATGTATGCCTGTGTGACCCCCTGAGCCCCCGTGACTGTGCACGTTGCCTGGCCAAGTGGCAGGCGTGTCAGCCTGGCGCAGCGGCAGCACCTCTGGGTCAGAAGGCGGTGGGTCGTGGGTTCGAGCCTCACGTTTCGATCCCGTGGCACTGTTCGAAAAGAGTAGGGAGTTCCTCTCTCCCGGTGTCCTGATCCGCAAAGTAAAATCGGTTTGTGGCTCACCGCTGTGCGGAATTGGCTGCCGTGTTTCGCCCACAAAGTACACAGCCCCCACTGCACTTTACACTATACCCCGCGAAACACTTTGAGACGGCTCAATGAGGCGATCAAGGCGCTCCATCAAATGCAAGGATTATTATTATGTAGTAACACTCCTCACGTTGGAGTCGTCACTCAGTGCGTCACAGGATTTCACTGCACCGTGAAGGGTAATAATAATAATAATAGTCCTTGCATTTGATATAGCGGCTTATCGCGTCTTCTTTTGTGTAGCCTGCAGCTGGATGGTATGCAGGTAGCGGACCGTATCTGAACTATTTCTGCCTGGAAGGGGAGAGGGGAGGGTGAGGGCGAAGAGGATGATGTTTTAAAGAGCTCCAATAAGCAACCTCCTGCGAGCAGAGCCGCAATCATTAACCTAAGAGAACCCCTTCAGCCATGTTGCTGCAAAGGCGCTGTGCGAAAAGTGATTGGGACGGGAGGAGGAGGAGGAGGAGGAGGAGAGTGAGGTGAAAGAGAGGGATGGCAGGAGGAAAGCTGACATGCTATCCCTCAAAACTTGTAAAACCAGTGTTCCCACAAAATTCCACCTCATCTCGCGTTTCCAAATCCCTGTCATCTCTTAGTGAGCTCAGGTTTAAGTCAACGCCCTTGAACACTCCTCTCTCTCTCTCTTTCTCTCTCTCTCTCTCTCTCTCTCTCACACTCACTGTCTCGCAACTGCAGCTCTGAGTGTGTTACCGAGGCAGCCCTGTGTTTGAACAGTGGGCGAGTGAAGTGTCTCGGCGTGCGTGTGCACGTGTGTGAGGGCACGAGACGTGGGCTGGATCGGTGAAGTTAACACCCGTAGAGAGAGAGAGAGAGAGAGAGCGCGAGAGAGGGAGAAGGAGGGCGTGAGCGACGAGAGAAACTCCCTTCTCTCTTCCATTAGCCCCACGGGTTCCTTAACGTCCACTGGAACAAGACACTGGCCGGAAGCTCGGTTTAATGTATCATCCGAAGTACAGCGCATAGAGGCAGTCACAGAGGTGTGTGTGTGTGTGTGTGCGCATAAGATTCTGGCCGCGAGGATTGACCGCCCGGGCGGAGCACAGGTAAGAAAGGTTCTCCTCTTGTTCCCGGGAAGCGCTTTGAGACTTTCAGAGGGGCAAAGAATTCAATCTCGTCTCCTCCACCTCCTTCGGCTTTTCCCGCTTCTTGACCCGCACTCCCGATTTTTCCCGGGATGGGCGCCCAGGCTCTTATCTGGTGAATCGGGATTAACTCTTCGCTGCCTGTTGCGTTCCCTCTCAGTTCCTTACTCTGGTGTTTTAAGTTACGAGCTCTGGTCTGCGAGTTGTTTAATCTTTTGTTACTCCCCTCCTCCTCACCCCCCCCCCCCCCCCCCACCACCTCCCATCTCCCTGGGGAGCTTCTCAGGTGCTGTTGGAAGTGGGGGCGAGATGCGAGGTAGGTGCAGTGACCTGACCACACCCTCCACCCACATTTGTCAGCCCGAGGGAGATTAATACCTCGCTCTAATGGGGACCAACTTTCTCTTAGTGTTTACCTGTCTGTGTATCTGTGTGTGTGTGTACTTGCACTCGTACTCATGTGTTGGGAATAATAATAATCCTTGCATTTGGTACAGCGCCTTATCACGTCATTGAGACGTCTCGAAGTGCTTCACAGGATTTACTGTAAAGTGGAGTGACTGTGTATTTAGTGGGCGAAGTGAACTTGTTGCCGGCTCCTCTGACACCGAGGCCCGTGCGAGCCTCGGACTGGCTGTATGAGCACATTGTGTAAAGTGTGACAAACTTAATTATGGAGTAATGAGCATCTATAGCCTATTCCTGCCGAGGCACCGTCAGCCTCGCATTGTGTGGGAGGGGGAATGGGCTTCCGGACCATTTGGTCTCAGCCTGGTTCCTCTGGTTAGCAGCTGGGAGCAAAGAGGCCCCAAACGACACACTCACTCCACTTTACAGTATATTCTGATGAAGCACTTTGAGACTGCTCAACCATATGACAAGGATTATTATTAGAAGTAGTAATAGGCACGGCGACTGTGGTAATATTCTCATCTGTCTGGATATTGCAACAAGTGTGGATTATAATTATAATAATAATAATAATAATAATGATGCTAATGCTTGTTTCGCAAGTGCGAATCAATTCAAAAGGCTTCGCAGGAAATCAGTGCAAAATGTGGTGACTGTATTTTGTTGGCAGCCAATTTGCGCACAGCGATGTTCCCACCAACAGCTGTGAAGTAAATGACTGATTTGATCTGTGGGGGATTGTCAGCCAGGACAGCGGGAGGGAAAAACTCCCTTCTCTTCTCCAATAAAAGATTTGCGGGATCTTTGACATCCACTTTTAATGTCCACGGCTGGGAGCTCGGTTTAATGTCATTTGAGCATGCAGGAGATATCCCTGTCGCTCTCTCTCTCACTCTATTTCTTTTTCTCTCACTGTACACATACACAGACGCAAAGGCTGAGATCTGTTAGGTTAATTATCCTAATTTCAAAACACTTTGATCAGACTATGGGAGCAGCAGTTTGAACATTAACCCGCTCAGTGTTTATCAGGTTTCTGAGAGTGGATTAAAAGGCCAGCCAGCCCACAGAGGTGAGCAGCGTCTGGAGAGGGGGGGGGAGAGGTACAGCTTTAAACAATCTCAAATAGCTTCAGTCTGAGCATTGACTGACTAATTGTAACATCACACGGACCACATCCCATTGTGTCTGTCTGTGTGACACAGTCTCTGTGTCTCCTCCACTCTCTGCGCTGCTCCTCTTGCTATAGGTACGTACCTCACCCTCTCCTGCCTCATTCTCTCGCTCGCTCGCTCTCTCTCCCTCCTCTCTCCCTCCCTCCCTATCTTTGTATACGTCGCTTCCCCCCTCTCCTTATCTCATTTCTTGTCCTTCCTCTCTGACTGTGCCTCTATGTGCTGTCCTTCAGATGAGACGTTAAACCAAGCTCCCTGACTGTTACTTGCTCCAGTGGTCGTTAAAGATCCCACAAGCACTATTTGTGGCCGACAATTCCCCCCCACACAGGTAAAATCGATCAATCACTCCACGTCCTGTTTGTTGGGACGCCGCTGAGCTCAAATCGGCTGCCACGTTCACCCACAAAACCCACAGTCACCGCGCTCGGTAGTAAAAGTGGTGTGAAGCGCTTTGAGACGTCTCGACGACTTTTGCTAAGGAGCGATATCAGGCAGGAGGATGAGGATTGTGGTATAAAGCTATAAGGCATAGCTCTGTAATAATAATCAACCTTACACTTGATACAGGCAGCGCCTTACCACGTCGAGAGGAGCTCCTCAAAGCGCTTCAGAGGATTTTGCCGTGAACCTAGTACTGTACATCGATGGACTGACCGACACAGGCGTTGGGAGCTGGAGGCTGGAGGCTGGGGCGTTCTTGGTGATGTGGATGTGAGCAAACACTGGCAACAGGAAAAAGCGTGGAGAGTCGGCAACGGAGCGTTCTGTGGAACAATCTGCCGATCGCATAGCGGTCAAATCAGCCGTGGAGATAAACAGCAGCACCTGGAACACAGGTACGTTGTCAGAGCTGACATCTAACTGGTGTGGGAGGGGGGGTGTTGAGATGTCTCGATGACGTGATAAGGCACTTTATCAAATGCAAGGATTATTATTATTATTTTAAGACTCTCAATGGACTGAACGAGTCTCCGATTTCCCCTCATTGTCTCTGTTTTACTGAGGGAGGGAATGGATGGTGGGGTGGGGGGGAGGTAGGGCAGGTGTGAGGTGAGAGAGAGAGAAAGAGAGAGAGGCTGAGGCACCAGACATGCTCTCACCTGGGGAGTCGCTGCTGGGAAGTAGAGTATCCGCTGCGAGCTCCGACAAGCCCAGGCCTTTGTCAGCCTGGGTTATGAGCTTCTCTTTGAAGTTTTATCACTCAATCTGCACAGCGTCGAAAGAATTGCTCAAGACTTTGACTCCACAATGAAGCCTGGCACCGCTCTATCTCCCTCCCTCCCTCCCTCCCTCCCTCATTCATTCCCGTCCGAACACAACACGGAGACGGGGTATATTGTGGCTTCTTGACGTACAGTGAACCTCACATTAAGTCGTATCAGTTGACCAACAACCCACCCCTTCTCCCCCTCTCCACCCCCGCCCCCGGCTGACTCCTCATCAGCTAAATCATCGGTGCTTCATCTCATGGCCGTTTGCGGGGACGTTGCCGTGTGTGGCAAATTGACGGCCTGCCTTCGTCCACAAGGTACACGGTCACCGAACTTGACAGCAAGTCCCCGTGTAAGGGCTGTGAGATGTTTCGCCCCTGTAGGCCTGGGTGTCAGTCGGAAGGAGCTTTATTAGGTCGGGTCTGATGTGTGGAGCGTTTGGAGAATAATTAACTGAAGGGAGAGCGCGAGCTGGTTGTCAGCTCTAGGGTGAGGTCAGGAGAGAGGATCAAGGTCCAGTTGGCGTCGGCTCCTTGATAGATTGCTGCGCTAGCCGTTGTGATAGCGCAGAAACCTGACACAGAGACCTCTCCCCTCCACTTCCAGCACCAGGGTCAGCCCCCCAGTCTGTACCTCGCTCCTGGCTGGGGTGGGGGGAAGGCTTTATTCAATGTACGCCCCCACTCCCTTCCCCGAACCTCCAGATCAGAATCCCACCCCTCGAAACCCCTCTTATTCTGCATCTGAAACACGCCTGTAATCCTCCCTCTTTGAACGTGCCGTCCGGTGTGAAGGGCGCTATATAAATGCACGTTGTTGTTGTTGTTGCCTATGGTCACCAGTTTCTCCCCACTTGTTCCAGGACCAACCTCCCTCCCTGTGCAGCGGGTCGAGATGTTCTCCTACGGGAAGGTCGCTATCTAACCACAAGTTGTATTGTGGTTGAGGTTGTTGTTGGTATTTGTTGTGGTTGTTATTCGTTGGCTGTGGTTGTTTCGTTTTGATTTTGCCCACAAACTATACAGTCACTACACTTCACAGCGTATCCTGTGAAGAGCTTTGAGACGTCTTGAAGGCGTGATAAGGCGCTGTATCAAATGCAAGGGTTATTATTATTGTGATTGTTTGTTGTTGTTGTGGTGGTGGTGGTTGATGTGACGGGGGGTGGGGGAGGTGAGAGAGGCTGATACCAGATCTCTCAATGAACTCAACTCCCCCCCCCATCCCCCTCTCCCTCCCACCTCTCCACCCTCCCCCTCTCCCCCATCTCCATCCCTCCCTCCCTCCCCCTCTCCCTCGCCTTCCCTACCCCTTTCCCCCCCTCTCTCCCGCTCTCCCCCTCTCCCCCCTTTCCCCCCCCTCTCTCCCCCTCCCTCCCTCAAAGGAACCGGGCTTCCTGCAATCAGTCAGCGTGACAGCTTCAGCGTGAATCAGATTTTTTTGAAAAGAAAAGACAAAAGGAAGAAAGAGCTTTAATCATCAGAGCATCAGAGCCTCACAGCTATTTGCCGTTGGTATTTGGAGTCAGGGTCCACCACCGAGACACTGCCCCGTGAAGGGCACTATATAAATGTTGTTGTTGTTGTTCCCAGCCTGAAAACAAATCGTCTCTTCACTTTAATAGGTGTGTGTGCGTTACCAGATTGCTGCGAAGACCCCCCATCCCCACCCCACCTCTTCCTCCTCGGATTCGGGGTCCTGACCATTGACGGTGAGGTCAGCGTGTGGATGGTCATTACGTGTGTCAGCCCTTCGACCCATCGCTGCACTTCATCGCTCGGGGGGGGTGGTATTTAGCCCTTTGCCTCCGCCTGGATCCTCACGGGAATGACCGGACCCTCGCGCTGCCGGAGCGTGCGAGCGGACCGGGTTTTTGTAACGATCCCCCCACCACCGCCGCCGCTGCCTCCACCCTGACAGGACCCTGGGAATCTCGAGAGGGAGCGCGAAGGAGGAACTCGTTTAGAATTTTCCCGTTGAATTCTTCCGAGGCTGCGGGAGAGATGGCGCTTCACGAACCGGATCCGGGAACGAAGAGTCTGCAGGAGGCTGACCTGTGTCCCTCCGCGCCCCCACCCTGCTCACACTTCTTATCAGCCAACACCATCTTCATCGGTGAGTTCAAATCCTCTTTGATTCCTCTCCATGATCTGTGTTCCGTGATCCTGTCCTGCGGAGCCCCTGTAGCTCAGCGGTTAGAGCCCTCGCCTCGCAAGCGAGAGGACCTGGGTTTGATTCCCGGGCAGGGCGAAACGTTGGGCAAGTTTCCTTACTCCACACACATGCCTCTGTTAGCCTAGCAGTAAGTAGGAACTCGGTTGGCAGTTGATTGGCGGATCGCTTTCCGGGGGTAATAATCCCTTCAATAAAAGAGATATATTTTGGTCACTCAATCCACGACTGTTTGTGGGACGCTGCTGTGTGCAATCGGCTGCCGCGTTTCGCCCACAAACGGTCAATTCCCTGTACAGTTTATTCAGCACAGCGATTTGAGGCATCTCAACAACACGGTAAGGATGCAAGGGTTCTTCTTATTAAATGCAAGGATTATTATTATTATTATCCGTGCTCAGAAGACAGGAAGAGTGTAACTTTTTAAGTTTGTATTGGTCGCGAGTCTCAATGGTGATTATCATCAAATGTAGTGACTGTGTGCTCTTGGGGAGGCTTTGAGGGGGGGTGGGGACGGGGGAAGGGTTTGCACGTAACCACGAGGGGAACGAGCGACAAGTCTGGGGCTGGGGGAAGGGTGTGGAATTCTCAGTACAGTAGAAACTTTTTCCAATCGCGTCACAGAATCTCTAACATCCGCCAGAACAGGCACAGGAGGACATGGGGTTTGCATCTTAACCAAAGGACAATACAATGTTCCTGCACTCGCTGTGTCTCTCTTGACTTTCCCTCCCTCTTTCTCTCTCTCTCTCTCGCTCTCCTCCCTACCCAACCCCCGCTTCTCTCTCCTGGTTTGAAGAGGAGAGTGCATTCCGGAGCGAGAGGTAAGGAGTTCAGGAATGGTGTTGCTGACGTGCTGTTGCACGCTCACACATGCCTGTAACATTCAACCATCGGCCCCTGGACGAGCCGGAAGGCTTAGCATTTACACAATGGCTGTGACCAGCACTAGGCAAATCGCACAGACGTGTTCAAACTGTAATACATTATAATAATCCTGCAGTGGTTAGCACACCAGCCTTGCCAGCAAGAGGACCCAGTTTCAGTTCCCAGGCGGAGCGAGACTTTAGGCAAGTTTCCTCACTCCACACACCTCTGTTTACTTAGCATTAAGAAGGAACCCGGTCGTTAGTCGATGGGCGAATCGCTTTCTGGGGGTAATAATCCCTCCCTCAAAAATGTGGTCTCTCAATCCGCGACTGTTTGTGGGGAAACCACTGTGCGCAATTGGTTGCTGCGTTTCGCCCACAAAATACACAGTCAATCCACGGTACAAAATGTTCCGTGAAGCGCATTGAGACGTCTCAACGACGTGATAAGGCGTTATATCAAATGCAAGGATTATTATTATTATTATCACACCCAGCTGCTCGCAGCTCGTTCCTTCCCATCACTGTACATTCAGAAATGACTGGAAGGGCGACTAAGCGAGAGGGAAGCGGGCGGAGGGACTCTCGCTCTCCCCGGTGTCCTGGCCGACAATTCCCTGGTTAGAAATCGCTCATTCATTTCATGTTTCTTTGTGGCATGTCGCCGTGTGCGAATTTTCTGCCGTGTTTGCCCATGAAATGCAGCGCGTGAAGAGCGCATGTGCGAGCGTGCAACACAACGCAGTGATAATGATATTATTGCAGTAATATTATCGTTGGACAGTGCGGTCTCTCTCTCAGTCGCTCAGGCTCCTCGTCAGTCACAGCGCCAAGCCCCGCTCACATCACAAATGCTCTCTAATCCGTCAATTTAACTGGGGATTTGCAGCTAATTATTCCCTGGGCCCTAGATATCCCCGCATTAAATGCTGAGCACAGCAGTGTCCTCGTGTCAAACGGCGACAGAGGCACGAAAAAAATCACAACCCAGATCACACATCTCAGATAACATAAAGCCAGTGCGCCTCTGTGGGTGTGCGCGCGCGCGAGCGCGTATACATATACCTGTGTGCGCGTCTGTCAGTGTCTAACTGTCTGTGAGCGTACGTGTGTGTGCGTGCGCGCGTGTGTGTCTGTATGGGTGTACGAATGGGTGTACGGCCGGAGCGCTCCAGGACGCTGCCCCACGTGAAGGGCGCTGAATAAACGCAAGTTGTTGTCGTACGTGGATGGACGTCGGTGTGTGCGATGCCTGGAGATTGCCACTGGAGGGCACCAACGCCCTGTCCGTCACACAATGCCCCGTCAGTAATAAAGACCATTGAGAGGGACAGATCGATGGTGAGCATTCAGCGCAAAATAACACCAGCATTGCTCACCACGTCCTTGTTCTCGCTCTCACTCACACCCCTCCTCCTCCCCCTCCCCAGTTACTCTCTCTCTCTCCCCCCTCATCGCCGCCAGCAGCCAGAGCGGATCGATAGGAACCGTTCAAAAAGGAACCGGATAATAATAATAATAATAACAATAATAATCCTTGTATTTGATGTAGCGCCTTCTCAGTTCTTCGAGACGTCTCAAAGCGCTTCACAGAATAGACTGTGAAGTGAATTGACTGTATTTTGTGGGCGAAACGCGGCAGCCAATTGCGCACAGCAGCGTCCCCACAGACGGCCGTGAATTGCGTGACCGCATTTTTTTCCGAAAGGGATTATTACCCCCGAAAAATGATGCGCCAACCGGCTAACGACCGGGTTCCTACTTACTGCTGGGTAATCCAGGTTGTTGTGGCGGATAATCCCCCTGCAGTGCCCACTTCCTGGCTTCCGTAAGAGAACACAGCGCCTCTCAGGTTACACAACATCGCCAGCGCACCAGCTCTCCCTCTGTGCAAGAGAGAGAGCGAGAGAATGAGAGAGGCGCTGTGTCAGATGCAAGTATTATAATTCATATTCATAGTCTTCGATTTATTCTTTACCTGTGTGTCAGTGTGAGACTGTGTGTGTGTGTCTGCGTGTGTGTGTGTGCGAGACGTTAAAGATCCCACGGCGCTATCGGAAAGGAGAATGGAGTTTCTGTCGCCTGGTTTCCTGGCTGACAATCCCACTGTTCCCAAACCCCCCAACCCCCCCCACCCCCAGTCGTTCATCTCCTGGCTGTTTGCAGGACACCGCTGTGTGCAAATTGGCTGCCGCATTTATTTACAACCCCCCCCCCCCCCCTCGTTACAGCATGTGTCAGCAGTCGCCTGTGTAGTGCTTTGAGCTGCTTTCATGTTATAATAACAAACCTTGCATTTGATTCAGCGCCTTATCTGGAGGCACGTCAAAGAGAAACGTCTCCAAGCACTTCACAGGATACGCTGTAAAATGGATTGACTGTATTTCTGTGGGTTAAACATGTATTTGATAAATGACTTTGTATTTGTGTGTGTGTTTGTGTGGGGGGGGGGCTGTGGGGGGAGGGGGAAGGAGTCGGGTGTCGTGTCGTGTGGGTATTACACTGGATTCTGGGTGCGAAGCTGAGGCCTGAGCAGAGACGAAATGGGGCTTCGCTGGACACAGGAGCTGACGGCACTCGCCAGATCCGAGCTGTGGAAGTCTCTCTGTCTGTGGCCGATCGCCCGCCCGCCCGCCCGCACGGCTGTGGGTGCTGGGGGAGTCTTGTGTATTTGCTGAGCTGCTGGGATTACGCGTGGAGTGAAGTAGGGGGGGATTGGGAGCAAGTTGTCACACTTCCTGTCAACTCTCCCTTTTGTTGTCAGTGTTTCCCTTTCAATCCTGTTTATTCTGGGCGTGCTGCCACACTCACTGGCTCTACCTACCCTCATCGTATCCATCCTTCATCTTCGCTTACAGGCATCTTTTCCCTTTTCCTCCCCCACCTTCCCCCTCCTTCCCCCACCCTGCACCTCCATCCCCCTCAGCTCCTACCCCAGCTTAGGTGCCCAGTCAACACTGAGAATGTCAAGTGTATCGCGTCTGTGCTGGTGCTCGCTCCCCCCACTGGAGCTCTCTACTCTCACCCCCATTCCTCAGCTCTTTCCCCATCGCGTCTGCGCTGGTGCTCGCTCCCACCCCACCACTGGCTACAGTGAAAGAGAGAGTGGGGGGGAAGAATCTTCGGCGAAAGAGATAGAAAGAGAAACTGAGGAGATTAGACGTTTCCTGTAATTAATCCTGTCTGATTGTGTCCAGTCAGTCCCCCGAGAGACTGAGAGGGACTGAGAGAGAGCAAGAGAGAGGTTTCTGACTGCACAGCAGAGAGACGGCACGGCTAATTCCCAGCGAAGTCTCCGGATCCTGAGTGAAGGAGACGGCTTTAATTGAGAGAAAATGAATTCTTGTACGTCACTGTAATGAGAGCTTCACTCCAAAATTTAGCTGCTGAGAGATGGCTGTTCGCTGACATTCCCAGGATAATGGCTCAGTGACATTCCCGGGATAATGGCTCAGTGACATTCCCGGGATGATGGCTCAGTGACATTCCCGGGATGATGGCTCAGTGACATTCCCGGGATGATGGTATGACTCGGATGATGGCTCAGTGACATTCCCGGGATGATGGCTCAGTGACATTCCCGGGATGATGGCTCAGTGACATTCCCGGGATGATGGCTCAGTGACATTCCCGGGATGATGGCTCAGTGACATTCCCGGGATGATGGCTCAGTGACATTCCCGGGATGATGGCTCAGTGACATTCCCGGGATGATGGCTCAGTGACATTCCCGGGATGATGGCTCAGTGACATTCCCGGGATGATGGCTCAGTGACATTCCCGGGATGATGGCTCAGTGACATTCCCGGGATAATGGCTCAGTGACATTCCCAGCATAATGGCTCAGTGACATTCCCAGCATAATGGCTCGCTGTTATTCTTGGGATAATTGCCCGTTTATATTCCCAGCATAATCTATCCCAATATATTTCCTCCTTCTCTTCCTCCTCTCTTCCTCTGCCTTTCTCCCCCCCCCCCACGCTCGCTCCCTTCCCCCATCTTAGACCCACAGCCGACACGCACACACGCGACTTGCACGCCCTCTCTCACACACAGACACGCGCGTGCGTGCGC